TTATCTAAAATGTTTCATTTTATCTGTGAACTGAGAAATCTGTTTGAACCTACTCCAGACTGTTGTGTTTGTCTAGAGTACTTGGTGATGTGGGCTTTCTCCGCAGCAGGTAGAGAACAGAGGAAGCCCCACTCACGATGCAGTGTGCGGTGTAATAAATGTTTTAGCAAAAAGGCCCCTCAAGCTGTCTGATGTTTCTACCTTGCCGTTTATACTTATAAGAATGAAGACAGTAGAGCATGGTGGCTAATCCTGGCTCTCTCCAAGCTGCTCATCTGCCTGAGCGTCATGATTATGGCTAGGAAAGCAACCTTTAGGTCTCAGTAAGTGGAGCAGGCTTAGAGAACAAGGAAAGCCTAGTCTGGGAAGATTCCTTTCTGCTTTTCAACTGTCTTCTCAGCTGCCACCTGTTGTCACTGGCTAATTCCAGAACAGCCTCTAGCTCCCAAAACTCCAGCCAAAGGAGAAGGGGGTAGGCAAGTAGAAAGTCTATTTATATTTTAAGACAGGGGCTCCGTATGTTACCTGCAATGCTGCCAAACTGGTGATCCTCCTGCCTCAGCCTCCTCAGTAGCTTGGAGGTTTCTACATAATGGCTTATATGAAACAGACCACCTGCAATGGCCTGGTGGTAAAGCACTCAGGAAGCAGTTGGCCACGGGAGCCACTGGTCAGAGTATATCCTCTACTGGATGGGGCGGGGAGCCTCACATTACAGGCCTGGTACCTTGGGTCTCTGTGAAGTCAGCTGTTAGCAGAATCCTGCTGAACTTCTGATTTACACATTTCCTTTCCCCTATTTGGTACAAGAAATTGCTCGGGGCTTCAAAACATATCTGTGCTTCCAGAGTGCTCCTCCTGGTGCTTTAAGGGGACAGGTGAGGTCTGTGTTCTTGAGAACACAACCTGTGTCTTTTCCAGGCCGAATTTTGGCCAAAAGAGATTCAGAGAGTGAAGCCACATATATGGAGCATGTGTTTAAGAATCCATGGAGGTGGGAATGTTTCATTGTCTCTCACACACACACTGACAGATTTTTTCTTCTTCTGTTATTGATAGTTCTGAATGATGTATTTTACCCCAGAGGTCAAAATGTGCCTAAGTCTATGACTGTGAGTGGGCAAATAAGGGATAGAAACCTGGTCCTGGCAATCCTCCATTTCCATCTGTGGTCAGATTTTTACTACAAAGGCAGGATATAAAGCATTAGTGTAAGTCAGAATGTCTTAGTGAACAGTCTTAATAAAGCTACCAATTTCTCTGCACAATGCTGGCTTTTGGATCTTTTCACAGCTAATATATTTCCTATTGATAACAACTAAATGGTGTTCTGGCTTTTTTTTACAGTAGATTCCATGTGTTATGGGTTGTGTCTAGATGTCCCCCCAGAGCCTCATGAGGTCATAGGTGGGGCTTTTTCAGAGTTGGCTGGATCTAGAGTGACTGATTCATGGTGCAGTGCTAGGATTAAGTGTGCTAGGATTAAGAATGTGAGTGCTACCCACCCTAAAGGCAAGTGCCCTAGATACAATACAAGGAATAGAAAGAGGCTTGCTGCTAGTGACTTGTAGCTTGTCGCTTGCTGCTTGCTGCCTTCAGCCTGCCATGGACTGTTCCTCCTCTGTGATGCGCCTTTACCATGCCACCCTGCCTTGGGGCCAGCTGAATATGGGCTGAAACCTCTAAGAACTGTGAGCCAAATAAAGCTTTCCTTAACTTGTGGGTGCTGAGTATTTTGACTTAGCAATGAGAAAAGACATCATCTTAGTTGACATCATCAACTAAGACATCATCCATGGGCTGTAGTTTTCAGAGTTATCTTGCATTCACATGTGTGTTTAGTGTTGTCTGCTATTTCTGTAAAAGCTGCCATTATAACACATTAACCGGGGCTAAGGATATAGCTCAATGGTAGAGCGCTGGTCTATCAGGCATGCGAACCTGCATTCCATGCCCAGCACCATGAAAGCAACAAATAATGAGCACAATAAACAACAAAAATGAAACTATTCAAAGATTAATTTTTGTTTTTAATAATCTACTTATTAATTATATATAATCATCATTTTGTCTTTTAGTATGCCTTGCAATCTTTTGTTGAGAGCCAGAGCTGATGAAGGAACTGCTGTGAAGAGGTTCTGCGTGAGATTGCAGTTGATCTGGCCAAGTGTTAGGCCCACATCACTGTCTGCTAAAACTGCAGGCGTCGGAAGCCAAGCTTTCATCTGCTGCCTTGCTTTGGCTTCTTTGTTGTCTATGGGCTTCCTTAGAGATTACTTAAATATTCTCTAGAGACTTATTAAACAGTTTTTTTATAGTTGTATTTCCTGGTTATGACACAGGAGCCCACTGATGTGGTGGTGAGGTGCTGGGGAGGGACGAGCTTTGTAGTCCTATGATAAGGCTGTGACCCTGCCTGTGACCTTTATAAGTGCTTCAGTTATTTTTCACCCTTAGATGAGACAGGCACGTGAGAGCGGTATTTTCCTTCCCTCAGGTTATTTGTCTTGAGGAATAGAATATTCTGGGCATATTTTAAAATGGCTACTTTCCCTACTTCAGCTAGAAGCATTAGGAAATTTTTCTCTAATCTTTACTATGAGAACCTACAAGGGTTTTTAACTGAGCAAGAAAATGTGAATTCAACCCTACTACTGGCCCATATTTGTCTCTGAAATTTTTTTTTTTTTTTTTGTCTTTTTGAGACAGGGTCTTGCTATGCAGTTCAGGCTGGCCTTAAGCTCACTCTGTAGCCCAGGCTGGTCTTGAACTCGCAATGATCCTCCTGCCTCAGCCTCCCGAGTGCTGGGATTACAGGCATGTGCTACCACGCCCAGCTGTTTCTGAAATTTTTAACAGAATAAATAATACATAAGATTTATATCACCCATAACTGAGACATGGAGGTATTAGGCTGAGAGACAGACAAAATGGAGGACTCTTACAAGGGTTAAATAATGGGGGCTTGACCTTCTGGGATGAACGGGGATGGTCCAGCCTGTGGAAGAATGCGGCAGGGTGCACAGCGCAGCAGGTCTGACTGGGATGTTATGAAGTCTCCAGCTTACAGCCAGTGTGGTCACCTCTGCTGGGCGAGCCTCCAGGCTCTCCTTTCTGTGCTGCGCAGGCTCTGGCTGTGGTGCTGCTCCGACATCCATCCCCAGGGACCATGGGAATCAGAGCCACAGCTCCAGTGCTTGGGCAGAGGGGCCTTCTCAGTGTGCGGTTCCCAGGGCAGGAGCCCTGGCTGGCCGCTGATAGGCTGGGTCTTTTTTTGTACTGGGAATCGAACTCATGACCTCATGCTTGCCAGGCAGGCACTGCACCACTGAGCTATATCCCCAGCTTCATAGCTGGGTCCTTAAAGAGGAGTCTTCTAGCACTGCTGACACTGCAGCCAAATGGAAGGCCTGTGGTGCTTTTCCTGCCTGCAGATGCATCTAAGCTCTGTCTGGTCTCTGTGGTGAATGTTTATCTCTGAAGCTTGCCCATGCCAAGCACCCAGCAGTTTGTCAGTGACAGTCCGCGTGTTCCTAGCCCGCACTGGTTCCTTTGCCACATTTTCCTCCCGGGCTCTTGCTCTGGTAAACCGTGGCTCTCTGTACCTGACTCCTGGCTCTTTAACTCAGCAGCAGCTGTTTGGACTCTGACCTCCATTCTTTGATGGACAGAAGAAATATTGGGTTAGAATTTTCTTTTTCTTTTTTTTTGGTACCAGGATTCAAACTCACGACCTTTCCAGGCAGGTGCTGTGTGGCTGAGCTATATCGCCAAGTTAGAAGTACTGTTTCTCAGTTTGTTCAGCCTTTTTCCTATCAGTGGGGAGAAGAGACAAATTTCAAACTCCTTTGCTAGAGCAGAAACTAGAAGTCTCCCATTCAACTTGAGTTTTTCTGCATTTGTTAACAGCTATTTAGAATATTATTTTTTTTGTTGTTATTTTTTGTTTGTTTGTTTTTCCGGTACCGGGAATTGAACTCATGACCTTGGGCTTGCCAGGCAGGCGCTGTGCCGCTAAGCTAAATCCCCAGCCCCCAATTTGAGTTTTTCAAATGGAAGTTCAGGGACAGTCACTCACACGTGAGGTAGAAAAGCCAGGCCAAAGAACTCAGGTACTGTGACTCCCACATGGCGATCTTTTTCCACACCAAAGGAGAAACGGAGGCTTAAAACACCTCAGAGACGGGCCTCAGGTCTCGGGATATTTTTGCTCAGTGCTTTGGTTTTGCTTATCTCGATAGCCACAAGCAGACTGGAATTCTAGTACAAAGCTGTCCCAAATGGGCAGAGGGAAGTGTCCGGGAGACATGGCCCAGTCTTGCTGTTTTATTCTTGCCCATATGGGGACACAGGAAGACACAAAAGCAGAGGAAGTCATTTCATGAATAATGGTGGGAAGGTGGGGGTGTTTTGTTTAGTAAGCATTTTCAGCCGCTGTCTGCCCACAGCAGGCCTGTCATTCATCTTGCGCCACATTGTGGCTCAGCCAGCGTCACTGACACCCAGCACAACAGCGTGGGCTCTCTGGGGTATACAAACCTAAAGCTCGCGCTGCCGCCTCAGGCGCGGGAATACTGTCCACAAGTGAGCTGCCACCCTGCAGGCGGGCACCGGCGTGGGCGTGGAGCGTCCCCAGAGCTCAGCTTCTTGGACTCCAGGTGCCTCCTGGTGTCGGGCCCTGTGCTCGGGCCCATCCCTGGGGCAGCCTTCATGGGGGGATTCTGAGAACCGCAGCAGAATCTCTAAGCTGAGGGCACGGCTTGTGACGGGGAGGGAGGCCCAGCCTCCAGGGACTTTGATCTGGAGGTTCCCTTAGCCCTGGATGTCCAAGTTGAAGGGAGCTGGTTGTGTTCTTGAGGTCCCAGGTTCAGGCTGGGGTTTCTTTAGAGGCCAACGGGTTGTTTAGAGACTCATGGCAGCTGCCTCCCCTTCTGAGCCTCTGCTCCTTCCTCCTGTTGGAGGGGTTGAGATGAAGTAACTAACTTTTTATTTTTTTTAAGTACCCTGGAATTGAACTCAGGACCTCGCGCTTGCTGCCGCGTCACTTATGCCGCCGAGCTATATCCCCGACCCCAAAGGAGAAGCTGTAGAGATGAGGTAACCCCCGTGCAGCTAGAGGTCCTGGTTGCTCTTCAGTGCGGCTGAGCAGGGCCGGACTGTCATGGGAGGTGGTACTTTTCCTCTGCGGGGATTCTGGGCCTGTCTTGTTCCAGGTAATTGTTGCTGCCAGAGGATAATTTATCAAAGCATTTATTGTTGTCTTCTACTCCCGCTAGAAGAGATTTTCAAAAGGAGAAAAAGAGAATTTCTTTCCTTTCAAGGAAAGTCTAGACTGCTGACCTTGGAGGTGTGCATCAGTTACCTGCTGCTGCATAATACATTGTTCCAAATCTTAGTGGATTAGAACAAGAACTATTTTTCCAAAACTATTTCAGTGCGTGAGGCATCCACTGCTTAGCTGACTAAGTTTCTTATAAAGTTGAATGCGAGGTTTGGCTGGGATTCTGGTATTTCAAAGTGTATTTGAGGAGGACCCACGTGTCCCAACTCACTGCTGAAGCTTCTGGTAAAACTCGGGGCATCTCTGGCTGTGGTCCTAGAAATCAGTTTCTTGCACACAGGGTTCTCCACTGGGCAGCTCTCAATACGGCTGCTTCCCTCAGAGCAGTGATGGGCGAAGAGAAGGAGAGTGAAGGGGTAGAAGTCACTGCTGTCTCATCAGCTAATTTTGGAGGGGACATGGTGTCGCATTTGCGGTGTTCTGTTTGAAATAAGTCACTGGGCCCAGCACTTACTCAAAGCAGGGGAATAACACAAGCATGTGGACGACAGGAAGCGGGAATCCTTGAGAACCCTCTCCCAGGCTGCTGTCACAGGTTTTTTTCCACAAGCTGTGTGCTTCCTGGCCCCAAAGTCGCAAGGCTCCTGCTGTGGAACTCTATCAAGGCTGTTATGTGCAAGGTGGATTTCCTGGGTGGCCCTTGGAGGGAGGAGGGAGGGTCTGAAGATGGAGCCACTGGGCTGAAAGACAAGGAGCTGCTCGCGGTCAGCAGTGGCTGCTGCGACTCAAGGACAAATGTGCGGCAGAATCCACAAGCACCAATTTCCTAGCTACAAGCTTCCTAGGAGGCAGCAAAGCTTCTGCGGAGTGAGCAGATGTGTTAGCCTGGGGGCACTAAGCATCAAGCACCATCGTGTCTGGAGCTACATAAAGATGCCAGATCTCCTAAGTGTCAAGAAGGCTGTGGAGGGGCTGGGGATTTAGCTCAGCGGCAAAAGCGCCTGCCTGGCAAGCGCAAGGTCGTGAGTTCGGTTCCCGGTACCGGAGAAAAACTAAAAAAAGAAGGCTGTGGAGCCACCTGCCTTTGAATGGACCATACGGCCTTGGGCCATGAACATCTCAGTAGCTACTGCGATTTACCAAAGATTAGACAATCTTTCCTAGGCATTTTTGGACAAATTTTGTCACTAAAAAGTAAAAGGGCCCTAATAATGACCAACATTAGGAGTCTTCCTATCCTAGCCTAATAAATGAGTATAAAGTCTTAGTCTAAAACTGCTATAATTGGTAATGCATTAATGACAGACTTTTATTTTTCACATTTCTCAAGGCTGGGAAGTCCAAGATCAAGGAGTTAGCATTTGCTGTCTGGTTGTGGAGCTTTCGTCTGCATCCCCCATGGCAAAGGGGACGAACACTGTGTGCTACACGGAGGAAGGCGGAAGGGCAAAACTGCCTAGCTACTTCCCTTGAGCACTTTTATAAGGGCACTGGTCCTATTCATGAGGACCAAGACCTTTTGATGCAGTTGTCTTTTAAAGGGCCTACCTCTTAATCTTATCACATTAGGTTCTAACACATGAATTTGGGAGGACACAGACATTCAAACCAGAACAGCGTTAGAACCAGGTATTATTTATTTATTTATTTGTGTGTGTGTGTGTGTGTGTGTGTGTGTGTGTGTGTTTGAGACAGGGTTTCACTATGCAGTTCAGGCTGGCCTTGAACTCACTTTGTAGCCCAGGCTGGCCTTGAACTCTCAGCGATCTTCAGCTTGCCATGTGCTGGGATTATAGGTGTGCAATACCATGCCCAGCAAACCAGCTATAATTTAATTTTTAAAAATTATATGACTTTTTACATTGTCATTGTAAAATTTGATTTATATTTATTTTAATCTAATCCTTATCACTCTAATAGGTATTATTTCCTTTTAAAACAGAAATTGAAGCTAAGAGAAGTGACTATGTTTTTAGAGAGTTAACTTAGAAGAAACCAGAGCTGGAACGTCCCCATGCACCACCAGAGATCACCTAGAATCAATTTACACGGCTTAAACAAAGACACAAAAAAGAAATCCATTGACTAGTAGAAATGTTGCCAATTCCAATTCCCAAGGTTGCTGTGGTTTTTTTGTTTGTTTGTTTTTGTTTTTGTCTTTTTGAGACAAGGTCTGGCTATGCAGTTCAGGCTGGCTTTGAGCTCACTTTGTAGCCCAGGCTGGTCTCCAACTCACAACGATCCTCCTGCCTCAGCCTCCCGAATGCTGGGATTACAGGCATGTGCCACCACACCCGGCTCCAAGGTTGCCATGGAATTGCAGAGTTGTCAGGCACCCACAATCATCAGAATACTGTATTCATGTATGATAAGTCTCGATTCTTCTGTGCTTCTTTATTGTCAGACTTCTTGTGGTGACAGGTTACCTGCTAGCAAGTTCAAATCTAAAGCTTTCCAGATTCAAGTCCCCTTGGAAGAGCTCTCATAAAAGTCCCTGACAAATCTCATTGTGTCTCTTGGGTTCTAGCTGGGCTGCACATCTGTCTCTGAGTTTCTCACTGGAGGAATGGGATGCTTCCTTTGGCTAGGCTTGGGATAGCCCATTTAAACAGTAGGGGCTGTGGTGTGGAGCGCTCCACCTGGACATAGCTTAGACGAGGAATGGAGGGGTTTCCCTACAAATGAATATGGTTCATTAAGATATCCACTAGAACCAGTAACTTCAAATATTAGATTTAAATTAGATTTCATGGGTTTTTTTTGTTTTGTTTTGTTTTGTTTTTGGTACCAGGAATCAAACTCAGGACCTTGTGCTTGCCAGGCAGGCGCTGTGCGGCTGAGCTATATCCCCAGCCCTTATTGCTGTATTTAGTGCTGATTGTACATTTACTTGCAAACAATTCATTGAAACATTCCTGCTGTTCATTCTATTATTATCATTATATCACCATCACCTACCTATACCTATCTCAATGTTTTTGTTCTTTTAACTTGTCTTAACATTTTACTAAACACAATTAAGGAATATATTGGATAAATTTTTGACATCGGTTTACCTTGCATGTGTGTGAAAGTCATGTTTTTAATTTTTTGAAAATTGTATTTTAGTAATTGCGAGGAGGCTATTGCATCCTTCTTATTTTCAGTGCTCATGTTCCCTTAAAAACTATCTGGAATATATTCATCTTCAGGAAAATCCTAAGCTTAAATTTGCCTCATGTTTTGAACAACTTGCCTCCCAGGTTAGTCTGACTTCTTGAAAGTGGCTCCTCCAGCCCCCCGCCAGGCTGTCCTGGCAGATGTTATGTGGGACCAGAATGCGCCTTTCTCCTGAGTCCCGCCAAAACTGCAGACTAGTGAGTGTAATAGATGAATGTCACTGCGGCAAGGCGCTCAGATTTGGTGCCAGATGTGACAGAATAACGAATGAATGATAGAGAAGGACTTTCTTCTACATACACCTCCAGCTGAAACTTTTATCCTGATCATTATAATCACTGCATATTCATGTCTGTATGGATGTTGCTTCTTGGCTGTGGGGGCAGTGAGGGGTAGAGGAGGATGGACTGCACCTCACTTGCCTAGAGCCTGGATTTAGACACCAAAAGATAGAGCAGGAAAGCACCACTCAGGAAAACATCTAGCACTTGGCCATAAACTTATAGGTCGACTAAGCCATTGATGAGTATCATGCTCATGATCCAATCACCTCTCCAAAGCCCCACCTATAAGCACATGAGGCTTTAGGGAGACATCCAGCTATAAACCATACAGGGAGGTAAAGAAGACATGGGGAGGGGGCATCCTCCTCAGGATGTCAAGCGCACTCTGCCTTGACAGGGCATCTGCGTGAGGTGGGTGAGTTGGTTTCAGAATGGGAAATATCAGTGTGAACTCGTGGGTATCAGCATACACAAACAGACCTGGAAATACATATGGAATATAGTGTGTGTGTGTGTGTGTGTGTGTGTGTGTGTGTGTGTGTGTGTGTGTACACGCATGCGCAAATTCTAACTCTGTCTAGTAAGAGTCCAGGGAGCAGCGACTCACCACTTAGCACTGAACACACATTTGGGGCTTGGCTCCCAAATGCCTTTCTCCACTGAAAGGAACCAGGCCCTGCAAAGAAATGGGTGATACCAGAGGGTGGTGCAGGGAGAAGTGCAAGCGGAACCTGGCACCTCCTGTGCCAAGGAGTGGAGAACTGCTCAAATAAAAAGGATTATCAAAAAGTACAGAAACCAGCCTGAAAGGACTCCCAATAGCCAGACTAGGGCCAATCTGAGGATAGAAATGAACAATCCCGCTAACAGACTGTAGCCTGTTGAGTAAAGTAAGATTCTACCAGTTCATGCTGATATAAATAGATTCTTAAAAGTTTAATGGGCAACAGGCTATGAATGCACACAGCCAGAGAACCCCCTCTAAAAAATACTTGTTAATTGCAAGGAGCAAAAATTAGTTTTACAGTGGACATTACCATAATTAAGTTCAAAGTGAGTATCAGTAGGACACAATGAGAAAAATACAAATGAGCTCCAAAATATTGTTGGCAAAGGTGAGTAACCTGAATCCAACAGCCAAATCCTAGACAAGGGACATGTTATGGAATAAGTGTGACTAATCTTCCTAAATGTCAAAGTTATGACAGTCATGAAAAGACTAAAGAACTGTGTTATACTGTAAGAGGCTAAAGAAACATGACAACTAGATGTATCATGCGATTCTAGACGAGATCCTTTTTCTATAAAGGACATTTAATGAGACAATGGGTGAAACTTGAATGACATCTGAGGACTGTATGATAGTAATGTTTAAATGTTAATGTCCTGGTTTTGATAGATGGGAGACTATCCTCCTAGGAAATATAATGAGGTATCCTGTAGATAATCAACCCTTTTGCAAATGTTGCAGCAAAATTAATTTCTTCTAATTGTTTCCAAATGAAAAGTAAAATTGAGAGTCAAAGTAAGCAGAGATAAAAGATTGAAAAGTGTGGAAAAGGAGAAGTGGAGAAGTTAAGGGGAAGCATCACAGCTATCTTAGAGTTTAAGGAATTGTCTATTTGGAAGAGGGGGTAAGAAAGAAAATGAGACCTTGATGTAGTTGTCAGAAACCAAAGGTGGGGGACCTGGGGATTTAGCTCAGCAGCACAGCGCCTGCCTAGTGAGCACAAGGTCATGAGTTCGATTCCCGGTACTAAAAAAAAAAGCCAAAGGTGGGGCTGGGAGTGGATCTGAAGATGTTGGCTGACTGTCAGAAAAGGCTGGATGAAGAAGAGGGAGGGAAGAAGAACTAGTATTTTTTGAATGTCTTCTCTGTATTGAGCACTAGGCTAGGCATTTAAGTTCCACTTCTCTATTATATAAACTAGCAAGATGAGAATTTTATCCACAGTGCAGAAACGTGGATAAATTAAGGCTCAGAGAAGTCACTCATCCAGAGTAATATGGCTAGTAAGCAGAACCCCTACTATGTGTGATTTCAGACAACGCAATGGTAGAAAATGGTCTCATCAGCTCAGGGAAGAGAGTTTACTGTTTCTTCTTACACAGAGATTAGAGAGTGCACAGAGACTGAGCGGGATAGTGACGGTTTGAGATTAAGATTGAAACCAGGACGTGACTGAGCTAAAGGGATTCTGGGGAGGCCACAGAAAGGGGAAAGAAAAGAGCAACACGGAGAGGTAACTTCAGGAACAGGTGAGAAGAAGCTGGCTGCTGTAAGAGGAATCTGCAGAAGGACGGGGACACGGCAGGCAGACTTCCCCAGTGGCCTCCGTGACCCCCCTTGGTATTTACAGTGTTTGTCAGCAGTCTCCCATGGAGGGTGGGCTGGACCTATGGATTTACTTCTAAAAACAGAGTAAAACTTACAGATACCATTTCTGAGATCACATTAAAAGTTGGAACTTCCACCTTGTTAGCATTTCTCTTTGATTTCCAAGAAATAAGCCGCCATGTGAACAGAACCACAAGGCAAAGAGTGGCCTCCAAGGGACAGGCTGCCAGCGATAAAGCCCTCCGCTCCACAACCACTGTTGGTAAACTGCATCCTGCCAACAACCATAGGCAGTAGCTTGTGGGTAGATTCTGTCCCAGTACAACCCGGGTGGAGCCTTGTGAGAGACCCTGGGCCAACACCTTGACCTGCCAGAGACCGGAAGTGGAGGACCTTCTGCACTGTGCCCGGCTTTCCCATACCCACAAAATGATGAAAGTAAGTGAGCACTGTTTAGGCTACAAAGTTATGGGACACAACAGATCTTCATTACTCATGGATTCCATACTTGCAAATTCATTTACTAACTAAAATTTATTTATATCCCTAAACCAACACTCCTTGCACTTATTGCCATTTATGGACATGTATGCTGTGGCATAAAATTCGAGTTTCCTGAGGTACATGCCCCCAATGGAGGTTGCACAAGGTAAGGCCAAGCCTTTTTAGCTTTCATACTCTAAACAAGTGCCCCTTTCCACAGCCTACATAGTTTTACAAGGAATTTTTTTTTTGGGGGGGGGCACTTCTTAAGTTTTTTTGCTGATGATTTTGATTGTTTAAAATATCTCCCAGTTGTAGCGATGAAGGGCTGTCTACTGTTCCTGAATGCAAGGAGGTTGTGATGTGCTTTGTTTGTTTGTTCTGGTGCTGGGAATTGAATCCAGACCCCTGCATATGCTAAGCACATGCTCCATGACTGAGCTCCACCCCCAGCCCCTGGAACAAGTCTTATGGAGAAAACGTATCTGTTAGAGAAGCTTTGTTCAACCATGAGTTACAGTCAGGCTGTTGGCTATCAAACCAAAATGTGTATTTAATAAGGTGTCTTTGAACAAAAATACACGAAACAAGCTTATATATTATTGGTCAATTGACAGAAAAGTTGTGGCCTGAGGTTCACAGGAACCTGGCTCTGTTCCCATAGCAGTAATGGTCAGTGTACACTAGGTCAGTGTTCTTGCCTTCTAGGATATAACTACTGCCATGAATAATTAGAATCAAGGGTATTCTGTTACTGCAGCAATACGTATGAATACAAGGGAAAGCTGGGTAATTCAGTCACTGATCTTAGTGGGAAAAGACTCACAAGCATGATCCAGAGTTAAGGGCTGTAGTTTCCTTGCTAGGCACGAGGCCAGAGATAGTGGGTAACAGTTATTTATATAGTCTAAGTATCAACACATATTAAAAAATAATTTTTTGCCTGGTTAAAGAGTGTTATTTTAAATGAATGTGAACAAAACTACTCTGGCAAGTTAGGCTCCTAAGCAAGTGTCCTTGCTCTGTAAAGCCCACAGCAGTGTGAGGACTGATGTGGCCAAAGGCACCAGCTTAATTAAAAGCTCTCTGGTTGTACAGGCTGATGCAACTGGGGCGGCCTCCTGGCACGATGCACGGGCTCCGTGAGTGCAGAGAAACAGCACAAGAGCTGTGGGAGGGGATATCCCCTTGAGGACCCAAAGTGCTGATCACAGCTTTTTTATGAGCTACTGAAAGTCCTGACTTCGGTGCCTGAAACATGGTCTTTATTACTCCAATTTTTAACTTCAGCCAAAGAAGCCTTCCTTGGATTTTGATTTAGGCTCCGACTGCATCGCTGATCCTCACTCCATACACTTACTCTAGTGAGTGTGCTAAGTGCTTAAAGATGCATGGGCTCTGCACCATACACACCTTTGTGTTAGAAGTTATGTACATGGGCTGGGGATTTAGCTCAGGGGCAAAGCGCCTGCCTGGCAAGCACAAGGTCGTGAGTTCGATTTCTTGTACCAGAAGAAAAACAAAAAAATAAAATAAATAAATAAATAAATTAACTTTCGGGGCTGGGGATTTAGCTCAGCGGCAAAGCGCCTGCCTGGCAAGTGCAAGGTCGTGAGTTCGGTTTCCGGTACTGGAGAAAAAAACCAAAAAAAAAAAAAAGAAGTTATGTACATGGCACTGTGTTACAAATATTGTTTTTTGCTTTTTCAACTCTACCCTATGATTTACATGTTGCTCTGTGAATACGGTTTCTGGCTTCTCACAGCTGTGTAGTATACCAGTGCCTGCCTGCTACATTTTACCCGTCCTCACCCCTCGTGCTGGACACATAGCCTGCCTCCAATTCCTACCACTTGGGTTAGGTAATCAGATCAGATGCAATCTCAGTCTACCATGGAATAGCATCGTCTTCATTTGCCTGCAAGCACATAGCAGCCTTCTGTTCTGCTTCTTCCCTTCCTTCAGTGGAGGTCAATATCCCCAGGACTCACCTCTAGCTCATGAGAGCATGTAGTACCTCAGCAATGGTAAAGTGATTTCTTGTTTGGCTAGTCCAACAGCCTACCAGAAAGCAGGAGTCCACATCTGTTTATTTATGTTTTGGTACTGGGAACTGAACCCAGGACCTTGTACTTGCCAGGCAGGCACTGTGTCGCTGAGCTACGTGCCTGGCCCTTTTTTGGTTTTAAAAGCACAGTGGTGACTCCTAACTCTGGTTTATCATGAAGGTTATAGAAGTTTGAAAACCAAACAGAACTGAAGATAAAATGATATCAAATGACGTGTGTGTGTGTGTGTGTGTGTGTGTGTGTGTGTGTGTAGTGCTGGGGATCAAGCCGGTCCTGCCCAAGCTAATCATGTGCCCCAACATTTAGATGAGTGCATTTTAAAAGTAAATACAGACCAAGGGACAGAGAAGAGAGGAGTTGGCAAAACCAAGTTACCATGAAAGATGGAGATGTTTCCAAAATGAAAAACTGTTTAACCAAAGAATAAATAATGCATTTGAAAGGGTAGCAGATCAACTCTGACATATGACAGGTAAAAATAAAAAGAGAAGGAAGCTTGGGTGGCTAGGAAGGCCTGAATGTCTACAGCCCTCCAGTACCAAGTGCCAAGCTGACAGATGTCCAAATAAAAATGTTGCAAAGTAAAGATGCAGAAAGATTGTTGCTGACACACAGAACGCAAGCCATAAACATGTGGAATTAACTTTTATTTCTGAATAATACAGAGAGCTTATATAGATATATTCTGTTGTTACATATTTTTATATTATTAATCCATACTATTTAAGGAGAATTTATTTATTTACCAAAACAAAGTCTAATCCACACTTTATTCTGAGCAAACCTATACATGGTAGAAAAGTCTTTAAATATATAAAAGGTTAATTTGTGCACATCTACATGTATCTAAAGGAGCAAACTACTGAGGCTTTGTGATGAGATGCGCGCAGTGCAAATGTAGTTAAGTGCCATTACTAAAGGCCAGGAGTACTGATTTCCTCCCACCTCTCAGCACTGGCCTTGGGAGGAACCCATAAAACATTGTATGGCTTCAGGAACAGGAACTTCAGGGTTTCTTCCTTACCCAGCTACTGCCCTCACTTTCTTGCTCCTCTGCAGTATCTTCAGTGCAAATTTTTGTTCTTGCTTTTAATCAACAGCTACACAAAAAACAGTTGCCATTTTGAATAAAAACAATACTTTTGCCCCACAACGAGCCCTTGGTTCCTTTAACAACAAATCTACAGGAAAAGTGCAAAGCAGTTCCCAGAAGTCAGAACCAAGCAAGAATGCTCAGAATGCAAGAGCTAGGGAGCTGAATGATGTGCGCATTCACATCTGTCTACCTATCTGTGTAGGGACTATTTTTTTCAGGATTCATCTAGGTTTCTATTTACTTGGATTGAATTTACACAGTAGCTTTTCTCTAGCATGTGCACATAAATTAACTTGTCCTTTTAAGGTAATAAAATAGCAGATACCTAAATACCAGACTGGATCTGCAGCCCACAGGACAGCTCAAAACAACATTGGGGGATCAGGAAAGAGGCTCATCATTCCTGGGTGGGAAGACAAAGCTTCAAACCTGAGCCAGTGTCTATAAACAAATAGGCTGGATGAGTTCAAAGACCGAATGGTTAGGTTGTTGCCATGCCAGGCTGGCTGTAACAGGAGCCCTCTCCCTACACCTATGTGTCCTCTGGTTTGCACCACTGGGATGAACCCTGGGTTCCGAGTGACTTGGATTCAACATAGCAAAGCTGTGAAGCAGGGGAACAAACCAGAACTGGGTAACTATACTTATACTGACACCATATGTGGGGGCAGGCATTCTTTGGGCTTCTAATGGTGAAGGTTGGGTTGAGAGTGGGTGGGCTGTAGGGCTTTTGTCAGACTAGCCAGACATGAGAAAGGAGATCCAAAAGAATATGTTTTCTAATTTGGAAGGCATAAGAAGGGATGATAATTATGGAGGCTAACGGAGTAAAGAGCTGACTCGTGTATTATGTGAGCATGTGTGCAAGGGAGATGGAAGCAGACATGCAGCAAATAAGGGCAGAGAAAGTCACTGATGCAAAGATTATCTATTTCAAAGTAATTCAGGGCTTACTATACCCATGGCTCAAAGCATCCTGGACATCTGTCCCCAGTGAGGTTACTACCCTGACAGAGTCCTCTCCCATTTCTTCTCTATTTCTGCCAGGTTACTTGTAAAAGGTGACACTGGAGAATTAAGAATGGTGCCCAGAGGGAAACCAAGGACCTCCGAAATGCCAGAAAATAGCTCAGGAGGAACTTCTTAGCAGAGCTCACTTTGAGTGTCTCAGTTACAACTTGAGCCAGGCTTTTGCACCTAGCACTCTTTGTCTTTTTCAGCAGACCATGTATTTTGATTGTCTGCAGATATAGAAAATATCTTTTTGCCAGGAAAAAAAAAATTAGTTTGGAGCCTTATTTGTCCATTCTGCTGGAGAAACCAAATACAAATGGTAGCGGGGGTAGGGTGGGGTGGGAAAAGACGTATTTGGTAGGGTAGAGGCCAGCTAACTTTCTCTGTAAGGACAGTAAATGTTTTTGGCTTTGTGGCCCTATGGTCTGTTATAACTACTCAGTTCTGCTGAGGTAGCACGAAAGTAGCTGTAGACAGTAGGAAAATAAATTTGTGTGGCTGTGTTTCAACATCACTTTGTTTATGGATACTAAAATTTGAATAATTTTGTGTCATGAAAAATTAAATTTTTTCAATCACACACGTGAAAACCACCCTTAGCTGATGATGGTGCCCTAGAGTTGGCACAGTTTGCCAAACTCTATGCTAAAAGCCAACAGACTAGAAGTCATGTTGGCATTTTAAAGGGCATATGAAAATTAGAAACTGTTTTGTAAATGGTAGCACAAACATTTAATTTGAGACCTGTGGTCAGATTAGAATGTCTTAAAGCAAATCACTTTCTATAATGCATGTGAGAGAGAAATTTGGATAACTGAATGTTCCCAAATAATTTCTGAGTGGGTTACTTCAGTCTTGAGTTCTTGGCACTTAAAGTACAACTTCTTGAGCCTGACGTGGCCCAAAGCATAGACAGCCTCTAACATTCAGCCTTAAGTTTTGCAAATGAAGGTATTCAACATTCGTTAGAGAAAATAATATTTTAGAAGATCATTTTTTTTTTTCCCCCAGTACCGGGAATTGAACTCACGACCTCGCGCTTGCCAGGCAGGCGCTGTGCTGCTGAGCTAAATCCCCAGCACCAGAAGATCAATTTTTTAAATCATGATAACTAAAATAAAACTGATATAAGAACGTCTGGCTTCCCTCTGAGAGGTGAAAGAAGACTCATGTGACAGTGGCACACTCAGCTGCTGATGTTTCCACACCTGTGTCTGGCCTATGGCTTCCTAAGCAGGCTTAGAATTTTGAAGGTGGCATTACAGGCAGCAGCTCTCGCTGGGGAGAGCAGAGTGTGAGCCCTGTGTACTTGAAATTTGAAGTGATCACCATGAAGCAATCTCGCTCTCTATGGATAAGTCCACTGATCCTTAACAGTGGATTTAAAGTTAACGTACTATATTGGTAAACATCTGCCTAAGGGACCAAATACCACTGACCAAGGGTTAACTAAATCTTGAAATGGAAGGTCCTACTTTCTTGCTAAGGTTCAACTAAAAACTCTGAGGCACATAATTGGCAAAATAGGAAAATACACACGATTTCATATAGAAATGGTAGAAGTAAACAAGTTCCTTTCCTGTTTCACCCCTTAGGAATTTAGAATGGCACCAGGCAGTGCAAAGTGGAAAAAGGTGATGTCAGCCCTGTCTCTTCCACGCAGATGTGTTTCTTTTCATAGAGCAAAGAGCAGCCTTGTCCTCAGCCAGGGCCAGCTAGGGCTTCTCTTTCAGTTTCAGGTCCATACTGTGAGGCAGAGGGGGAGAGAGAGAGGGAGAGAGACAGGAGAAACCCAAGGAGAAATACTCAGTAACGATTTGGTGGGATGCCTTTGCTTTTTTCTGCAATAGACTTACTGAAAATAAATCATGCAAACTCTTCACAGTATTAGAAAAATCTAGTAAAACACAATCCTCCCCTAGTTGCTAAGCTTTTCTCAAAAACAGGGGATGATCTTTTTATTGTTCACAAAATTGTTTCTGGAAGCATTTTATCCCTTCTCAAAATGATCCAGGGAAACAAACAATGCAGGTTAAGGCTTGTTCCTGAAGTCAGTTCAGGTAAGGACCATTATTACTCTATTCTGGAAGTAAAGGATCCCTTTTTACTAAGTGCCCTTTCCTCGTAGTGAGGGACAGTCTTGTGCACAGCCCTGACCAGGCTGAGGGAGGGAAGTGTCTGTGGTGATTCTAGGGAAGTGGCCCTGCAGCCATGAACCAAGGGGGAGGCCTGTCCCTAAGGTGTGCAGCACCAGGCGATCGCTGGGGCCTCGAGGGGCCGGAAAGTAGAAGAGGGACCAGCCGGCTCTCTCTCCTTTGGACAGTAGGTTTTCCTGCCAGCGGACTCCAGACTGCAAGTTCTTCACATCTTGAGCACTGGCACCCGCAGCCCTCCAGGGGCCTCTTAGGCTTTTAGCCTGAGGCCCAGGCTGCACATTGGCCTCTTTCTTGAGCTGGGACTTCCGGCCGCCTAGAGCAGCTAGTGGCTCTCCTGGTTCTCAGCCCACAGGGGGCCACTGCAAGCCTCTACCATGACATGAGCCAACTTAATAAATTCCTTCTTAAAATTTTATGTATGAACATATATATTCCACTGTTTCTGTTTCCTATAAAACCCTGCTTAATAAACTTGTAAAGGAAACATAATCGTCTGCCTAAAATAAATATCTGATAAGTGCTAAATAGCAAGAAGTAAACAGTAAAATAGTGACCAAAATAAAAAAATAAAATTAAAAAACCAAGAAGTAATTTTCTAGGAGTCAAAGGGTTTAACCTAAGGGACCAGGTAATTTAGTAAGTGGATCTTAATAACTAAGACAATAAAAGACTTGGGAGCATATCAGGGTTTCCAAATATCTAGGGCATAAGTCTAAAATTTCCTTCGGGCTGGGGCTGCCGCTCAGTGGGACTGCACTTGCCCGGCACCTGCAAGGCCCTGGGGTCCATCTCCAGCCTTGCAACACAAACTTGCCCCTCAAGCACCTGTGTGTCTCTTCTGCTGTTTAGTGGATGAAATACAAATTTCTAGTACATCTATCCTACAGGAAGAGAACTAAAAGCCAGTGAATAATCTAAGGAATTGTAGTTATTACAAAAAGAGAAACCACTGATTGAAAAAGGCAACTTAGGAAGTTCCTGCAGACTGCACTATCTCTGGCCTCCTGAATCATCAGTGTGCCTGCTGTGAAGGCTTTACTAGTGTTTACTTGTGGAACTTTTGCAACTGAGTAGCATTTCTTGCAGCAGTTTTGCAAATAAAGCCACTGGTAACCCGTGCTGCTTGTCTAGCTTGTAACTGTAAAGGGCCTTTCATCTGAAATGTCATCAGCAATTTCACCGTTCTGTAGCCGTGGGGACTGGGCTGAGAAACCTAGCACTGCTTCCACTCCTATACTGTAAATCGGAGCAAGTAGTCCTCTTACAGCACGCCAAGGATCAAGCCCAGTGTTTCCTCCACCATGCGTATCAACTGTGTCTAATGCTTTAGTAATAGTAATAGAATGTCTAATTCTAGGCAGCCGGAAGTCCCAGCTCAGGTGCTTTTTCAAAAGGGAAAGTCGTCTCTTCCCTTCAGTTACTCTACTTGCGATGACCTTGTCTCTTTAGTGTGTATCTGGAGTCCGGCCATGCTGGGCACTGTGAAGGGTGCTGAGCGCTGGGTCTTGTCTCATCTGCAGAATTTTACTTTGGAGATGTCCTCCTTTTATCCAGCATGCTTTTCTCCTAACACAGGTTTACTCTACAGGTCATTTTTTATATTGCGTGAGGGTTGCTCCTAAAATGTACTTTGGGCCGCAGTGGTTTCAAGAACTCTGTAGTAGGTCCCATCTGGTGACTACCATTTTATTTTCTTTCTCATGGAGTTGGCTCACTTCCTGTCACAGGTCACAAAGGTATCACTAAGCCAAAATTTGAGGAACACTGCCTGAAAAGTCTAAACCACGGCATGCTATTGAAGGTTCTCAAAAAATATTATGTACAATTACAAGTACACGGTCAGTGTGTTTCCCCAGATGGGCCCCCAATAAAAATCTGAGCCAAAATTCACACCAGGCTGCCCATTTCAAAACATGTTTCTTTTTTTCTGACTTTTTTGTAAACTTTCTAGGGTTTAATTCATCCCTTTAGTTTCTGGTAACCAAAAAAGCTGAAAGACTGAAACTTACTTACCCAGTTTATGAGAAGAACAAGAGACAGTTACAAGCAGACAACTTGCTTAAAAGCTTGTAAGCGAATGCAACTTTCTTATAAGATAAAACAAAAATTCTGAAGAATTTTTGAGACAACAGTTATGGCATGGCACTAATGAAGCTATTGCAAATGCTACTAATTTAAGTCTAGTCAAAGCGAACCACCTTTGATCATGTAATTTTTAAAAATACCAGAGCCAGCCTACAAGCTTAGGACATGACTACATATACACAATCTGAACCTAAGAATGAAGGAGAAAAATACCTAGGGCTATTTTTTAAAATATCCTTTCTGAAAAAATTACCTTTAATCAGAACAGAGTATTTTAAAGGAGTTTACCTCATAGTGAGCTACATTTTCTACAGTCAACTTTGCAGTGAAACAAAGCAACCTTCTGATAATATTACAATAGGCCATTTTCACTTCTAATGAATTAAATGATGTTCTTTGCAAATTCTGGCAATCTTATTTGATGACAAATAAAAACATTTATGTTTTATGTAGGAAGAGACAGAGAAGGGCATTAACTTTCCCTTCTCTCTCAGAAGAAAATGAGAAATTGCGACAGCTTCAGCACGTTTCATTTTATTCTCAGCCTGACTGAGGCATCTGAAAGAGCTTGTGTCTCTTTTACACTTTACCCTTTCCATCCTAGCTTCAGAAGGCGTAAAATGCTTCCACACAGCATTCCTCTCTGTCCCGACAGCCTGTGGTGAACAGAAGCTAGAAAAGCTTAAGCAAAGCCCCTCCTTCTAAAACTAAGAAAGTAAAAAATCTAGGACTGAAATCAGAAAAAATAGAAATAATCTGGGGCACTCTCGTCCTGCAGTGAGAATCACGCCCTCTCACAGTGATCATGTGGCCTGCATGCCTTAGGACAGAGAGACCAGGTGGGCATTTATTGTGATAGCTTGTAGTGTCCCTCCCTCCCCATGTCCAGCCTGGATGAACCCACACTAGAAGCAATGCCCTCCCTCCTCTCAACCCAAAGAGCCCCGTGTACCAGGCAAAGCGGCAGAGGAGTGGGTAAGCCCGGAGATGTAACAGCCATTCACTGATAGGCCAGTAAGTGACCGGGAATCAGGACATACCTTTTACAAAGCTCCTTCACTGGGCTGTGAGCTGTAACTGCTCATGCAGTGCTGTTTTGCTAAAGAAGGAAATGTACTATGTTTGCAAAATGGATTATGGTAGACTGAGATATATGTTTCCTTTGCAGAATTTCATGGGGCAGTTTGCTTGGTAGCCTTCATCTGAAAAGGTAGGACAACAGCGACTTTCAGAAAAATAGCCATGTGGTTAAAACTTTTGTTCTTTGTGCCCTTTTCAGTTGGGCCATTCTGGAATTTTGTTTTTACACTTCCTCTAAGTTATAAAGCCAACATGGCAGCTGCAGAAGCACTTTACTGTGTCTTTCCAACTTCTCTGTGGGCCTCGAGGGAACAACAGGGTGACAACACAGACACACTGACATTTGATCACTGCCTCCTCTTCTTGGTTTCTGAGAATAAAGACAATGTTCATGCTCTACCACTCAAAGCAAACTAGAAGCCTCTTGCCGGGGGGTCACAGTTGCTTCCCTGACCCTGATGTGGCCACTACAAGCTCTGGTATTTTAGGTGAGTGACTTTTATCCTTAAACAAGAGATGGCACTCCTATCTGAGCACACAGAGCACCTCTTTCTGATTTAAAAATTATTAGCTCCAGATCTGCATAACTAAGTTTCAAATCCCAGTTCTGGGAAGTTTAAAATTTTTTATTAATGCATATTGGTAATACAGAATAATGAGATTCATTTTGGCAGATTGGTATATGCCTATATTTCTCTAGGCCATATTTTATGGCTATAAAACTTTGCACTGGTTAGATAATCTCTCTATGCCTCATTTTCTTATTTGCAAAATGTACCTTAAGCTTATTCTGAGGATTAAAATCAGATACTGTGTGTGGGCTTCTTACACAGAGTCTGGCACATGCCACAAACTCAATACGTGTCAGACTCCTGCTTCTCACAGGATCGGAATCGTCCAACTCCATCTTTCCTAAAGTCCTGTGCAGACTCAACTGCCTCCTGGAATTTGCAAAACAAGGATCTTACTCCCCTATCATCAAAATTTTACATTCACATGGAAGTCCAGCTTTCACTAATTATAACAGATGATGTAATTCAGAAAGCAGAGTTGTGTTCCTCTTGTCCAAATGTTGTTATATCTGGCTCCAATATTTATTTTCCCCTCAATTTTGATAAGAAAAATAGAATGTTGTGAAAAGACTTAAGTTGTCCTTAGTGGTGAGTACTAGTGAGAAGGATTAAGCTGGCACATTTGTCTTCAAGTTTCTAATTTCAAAAATATAGTAATAAAAGCTGAACATCTAGAGGGGGTTTACCCAATCCTGAATGCATTATTTTTCTTTGCAAGCCCAGCCATACAACACTACAAGTAACCACACAGCTGCTGTTGATGGGGATTCTTACTCCTTCTCCATAGAAGACATTTCCGGGTCATTGTAAAGGCAGCTAGTTCTGAGTGCAAAGAAAAAACAGGAAGCAGTCAGTATTTTCTCCATTCTTACTGCATGTCGGCATCACTGATTTGGGGCAGTGGAACCTCTTTAATGTGCAAGTGCTGAGCAAATCCACACCTGAGCAGGTGACAAGATTAAGCGACTCTTTTACCTCAGTTTTGAAATAATTACCCATGATTTGGAAACAAAAGGAAGATTAAAAACTTCAGACACCTCCTCTGTCCTTGTTATTTTTGCCAAACTTGTCAAATCTTTCCTACTCAGTGTACTAAATATTGTCAAATGTTGTTTGTACTCCAAACAATCAAATATTTTATACACAAAGGAAAGCCCCCTAAGGAACTTAATTCTGTTTACGCATGAATACAGCTTTCAGTTTCCACAAGAATAAGTTTTCAAGATTCTAAAAGAGAAAATACAAGTGTTAGCTTTTCTTGTTGTTATAGAAAAATAACTAGACACCACACCCCTCCATATAGCTCTCTGTTCAGATAGCACCAATGAGTTTCAACATTAATCCAAACCGAGTATGTCTAGGAAGAAAAATGTAACCATGTGAAACAAGGAAATAAAAGATTCTGATTGTGTGTACCCTTTGGGGGCAATATTAGCTGTTTCTGATATTCCCTAACAGGTCATGATTCCTCTGTTAGCAAACTTGAAATTTGCTTTCTGTCAATTCCCAATCAATACTTAGTATACTTCAAATTTTACTTCACTCCCCAGAAATATTTTTGGCAAATAACTATTCACAGGGATTCTAGGATCCTTTTTAAATATAAAAGGTTCTTTTGTACCGTGAACAATTTCATAAGCTAATTTATCTTTTCACAGATAAGAAGTTTGAGACTATGGTTAGCTGTTTTGTTGAAAATGGCAGAAGAGTATCTCCCGGGGTGGGGCAGTGGCTTTTTGCCCTTCCCTTACCGTCTACTCTTCTTGCTGGTGGTCTGGTATTTTTACGGAGAATATTTGGCAACTTTAATGAATAAGGACAGTCAAGTAAGTGTTGACAGTGTGCTAGAAAAACTTAGAGAAGCTGGAATGGATCAGGAAAGGGCAATCTTCCAAATCCAGCCCTTCTGCTTTTTGATCTTAGAATAATCCTTCCAAAGAAAACAGCAATTTGCAAATCATTTAACACCCTGGCTCCAAAGCAGCAGATGGATTCTTCCCCATTTGCAAAATAAGAAGGGAATACCATTATTCTTCAAAAGTATTTTCCCTTCTGTGTAGATCTAAGGTTTTAAAGAAAAGATAGGGCAGGCTGAGCAAACTGGCTTCTGAAAGGTTACTGGAGGTGGTGCGTAGTCTGTGCTGCAGCGTGTGTGCTGGCAGTGCGTATATGTGAGAGGAGAGGCAGAATGTTTTAAAAACACAATAGAAATGAAGCAACACCATGGACGAGGTAGGTTTTGTTCTTTGATAAAGTGTATATTTGAAGCTGTTAAGAAAGTCATGTGGAGAGTCCGGATACATCTGTCAATAGAAGGAAACTGGGTGTATCTGGTTCTGACCACAGATCTGTGGTGGCTATGTTTTCCGAATCCAAAATCATCCTCGGAGGCTGTCCCAGGACTTAGGGGCCACGTCAGAGGCTACAAGACAGTTTAGGAGATGTAGTTTATAGCTAAAATGCTAGGGTTCTGAGGTATTCTACTCATCTGTGGGTGGGGTCAACAGAACAGAAAGCTTTCTTTTTACACATGCTCAAATGTGCAAATATTTTTCAACTTAACCATCAAAAGACATAAAAATATTTAGTGGAGGATTTTTCAGGCAAATGGCTTATGCACTGAATTCACAGCAAGAGCATGGACTGTTAAAAAATAAATCTCATTATTTTTATTCAGCGCTTTACTTTAGGGTGGATGTTCTCAAAGGATGTTCCTGAGACCGGCAGCATCAGCACAAACCTTTTCTTTAATTTTTAATATAGAAGATCCACATGTAGGCAAGAAGTTCTATAAGCTACCTGCATTTAAAAAGTACCATAGGAAAAAAGTGTCTACCTGGATTTTTTGGATGAAGAACTGGCTTTTACAAAGAAGAACTGTCAGAATTTAAGTCATATTTACTTAGACTGTGTGGCCATTTTGACATTGTCTAGGCTTTCTGCTTTTGTAATAGCTATTAAAACAAGAGTTTGTTAAAAATTAATAGCGTAAGCACTATCTGCAATAGGGAAGAAATTTAATGTACCAAATATAGCAAACTTGCCAAGTAGCACTTGTTTTACAATGAACATGAAGTGTCATAAAATTATTTGTAACTTAGGAACAAGAAAAGGAAGTGACTAGTGCTCTTTCAGACTAGCTCTCGCCTCCTGACTTCCCAGGGTTATTTTACAGCTCAGGAGGGGCAGAGGTTAACCTGTAGATTTATGTCTCCCAGTCTACTGCTTCACCGGACATGAGCCAGTTTTGGATGTTCACAACTTCATCCAAGCATTCTTCTGTAAGTTGCTTACACCGTAGTGCACTCTTATCTGCAGTTTTGGTTTCTGTGGGTTTAGTTACCAGTGGCCAAATATGGTCTGAAAATATTAAACTGAATATTCTAGAAATAAACAATTTATATGTTTTAAGTAACTTATTATAGCATATCATTATAACTGTTCTATTTCATTATTAGTTATTATTGTTAATCTCCTACAGTGCCTAACTTATAAATTAAACGTTAACATAGGTATGTATGCCTAAGAATAAACAGAGGATACTGTATACAGTATTTGGTACTATCTCTGGTTTGAGGCATCCATGGAATGCCTTAGAACAAATCCCCTGCAGATAAAGGGAGATATTATAGAGCGCTTCTCAAATACTCTTCAAATTGATTGTAATGCCTTCCCTCATTAAATAACTGGTTGAATAAACCCGCTGTCATGTGTTCCTTTTATATTTTCATGGGAACTCTAATTTTCCCTTTTTGAACATCATACCTCAGCGAAAGTGAGCAATGACTTTCCCCCTCCTACTTAGCGAATAGCTTGGGGGATATGAAGTAAGCGGTATTTCCTGGTCACTAAATAAGGTACCATTGTCATTAAATCTTGGAAGGACATGAAATTGATTCTACAACCATCTTCCAAATTTTTTCTTGCCATCACTCTTACCCTAAGTATGAGTTAGTGAGGCTCTGTTACCTCAGTATAGCTAAAAGGTCACCTTTAGGGATACTGCTACACTCCAGGTGGCAGTGTCTGTGATGTGTTTTGTGGAGGTGTCTAGAATGGCATGTGTGTTTAAACCATGACAAATGCTTTCTTCAACATCATGGGGGAAACAGATTAGAGGAGCAACAGGGATTAGTATTTACCATGGAAGAAACGGAATTTTCTAAGTTCAGCATTACTATCAGGATGCAAGAATGAGATACCAGGCATGCAGATTCTCCCCGCTCATTCCTGAAATGCAAGCCAACCTCACGCCAGCTGCTAAACGGAAACTGAGTCTTACTTAGCTGCTTCTGAAGCTTCTCTCAGTTCTTCATCCAGTCTGCATGAGCGAAAATTATCGACGTAGAAAAGAAACAAAAAAGAAGCAAGCAGAGCATGAGAAAGTAACTCAGCAGAGCAGAGCCAAACGCCAGGAGTGTGTGCGCTTTTACAGACTACTCTGGTGCACCAAGACACATTCAGTCAAACACGGCTTAATTTCCTCCCATCGATGTTCATGTATGTTTACTTTGGAAATACCTTCATGAAGGTGGATATAAAAGTAGCAAGGGGACTGGAACATGCTGGCTGAGTAAAGCTGAGGACATCCAGATCAGTGTGTTGGGTACAGTGAGTTAGCTTGCATTCTGGGCCAAGTCAGGAGTGTATCTGGTTTAGTAGGTTTCTCTTGCAAATCAGGCTGACCTCAACAGCTTTACACACAGGACAAAGACTAGAGATGGTACAGAAAGGACTGATACAACAACCTCTTGCTCTGGCAGCATGTTGAGGTCACCCACAAGTAAAACTCTGGAATATACACACAGAGGATCCAGCGTAATAGAGATTGGGAGATTTTTTACCTCACACTTCTCTTAAAAGATCTTTCTTCATCGTACCTTATGAGATAAAAAACAGATGCCATGAGGAAAATATGCAAACAGATGGAAAAGACGACAGGTAAAGGTTTCACATAATGATCAAAATGTGAGAGACAAACCCTCCCCAAATAATTATCCAATTGGCTTTTGGGAGAAAACTTATTCTCATTAGACATAGTCAATGACTTCTAATTTATAAATATGCACAGCAAGTTCTCATTATTTGTGGACTCCACATTTGCAAATTACTTCTTCACTAAAATGTATTTGTGACTCCCAGATCAATATGCAATAGCTTTGGGTCACTTGTGGACATGCGCAGGTGGCAAAAAAGATCTGAGGTGGCCAACTGTACGCATCACCAACTGAGGTCCAATGCAGCGAGGCTCCACCTTCTCCTTTTATACTGTAAACAAGTGTCCTTTTCTCTGTTCATTCAGTAACATGTTTCCCTACTTCAGGGCTTTTTGTTGGTGAGTTTGCTATTTAAAATGGCCCAAGCATAGCATTGAAATGATGGCTGGTAGTCTGAGGCACAAGAAGGCTGTGAAGTACTTTACAGAAGACATATGTATGTATTACAAAATGACAATGGAATAATCTAATAGGGTGACTTCGAACAGAAACACACACAAAGCAATTTAAATACTGGTTGGTGATGAAAAGATGCCTAACCCTATTTTTTCCCTAGAATAATAGTTCAGTATTCACTATTTGAGTATTTCCAGAGTCTTTATTGAATATAATTGCTGCAGATAATGGGGATCAACCATAATCAATAAATATTAATCTGATCCAACTTGAGCAAATTCTTCTTTTATTTAAGTCCTTTCATGGCAGGTGGCATCCCAGCTGAATACTGCTGTTGGGGTTGGCTGAGATTAGACCTTTTGAATGGCTTGTATCAATTTGAAAATTGCTTCGTGTGAAAATGAAAGAAGAGGGACCAGTGATAGAAACGACAGAAAGAAAATTCAAGGAGCTGGATTACAGCAGACAGAAGAAAACACAGACATGTCAGAGAACATTCACGGTGCTAAAGTGCTCCCTCCAGAAGAAAATCTTTCCAAATGGAACTCTTCCTCCAGAAACCTCTTCCCTAATGCAGCCTTGAGCACTAACGTGTGGAGGTGCACAGAAAGTGCCCTGGCCACGTCTGACTCCCTCATATCACAGGGAGTCTGCAAAAACAACAAGGGTCATAATAAACAATGTCGCAGATCGCAGGCTCTGTGCCGGGAGGCTGCCTAAGTGGCTCATGTACACTGTGCTCATTCACTCCTCAGGACATCCAATGAAGTGCAAATTACTTCCCCATTTTACAAATGCCAAAGCTCAGACTCAGAGAGTTTTAATAGGTTGCTTGGCAGGGTGTGGTGGTGCAGGCCTGTAATCTCAGGACTGTGGGAGCCTGAGGTAAGTGGATGGAAAGTTCAAGGCTAGCCTGGGTAATTTAGTGAAACCCTGCCCCACCCCCAACAAAACAAAAATAAAGCCTGGAGATGTAGCTCAGTGAAAACCCTGACATGGGTTCGTTCCCCAATATCCCACCAATTAAATGCAAGTCTCAGAAGTACAGGAGAAGGAGGTAGGTCCTTATCTAATTGCCCCCAAAGCCCTTTCTCCTTTCACCCTACTACCTACCTATGGTAATGGGGAGCATTACCATAATTACCTGCAGAGTGGTCAATGCTGGTTCCTGTTAGAGTGAATGTCCTTATTATTTTTTGCAAGGGACAAAGAGAGACAGCATTATAGGAGATGAGGTGGGTGGCCCGCTTATTTTAAGGTACTGGGGCCTTCACAATGAGCTCCATCCCCATTCCTTTTTAATTTTCAGACAGGAGACCTTAGGTTGTGCCTAAGTTACCTAGGTTGGGGTCAAACTTGTGGTCCTCCAGGCTCAGATTTCCAGAGTGCTGGGGTTACAGATATGTGTCTGCCTGACTCAGTACTTTTAGATTTTGCAGATGGGTGCACCACTGGGGGGCCCAGTAGCCTGAACTTTGAGGTGTGCTGCTTGTGGGAACTCGGTAACATCACTGAGGATCGAAGCCATTGCTATGAACAGTCTGCTTGATTCAGCTGAACCAGGTGACCCTGTGCATCCATCAGCATCCTATGTCCAGGGCCCTTTGGGTTGGAGGAAAACCAACATGCCTACTGTGAGCTTTGAATTTAGATGCACATTTTGAAGGAGATAAACAATGTACTTGAAAAGGGCATGGGAATTTTGGTGCCAGGCTACCCTGGATTTGAATTCTAATTTCACATCTTCCTGGCTCCTACTTATTCTTTCCATAAGTAACCGCTCATGAAGTCATCTCCCCTGCATTTATAAAGTGGGCTTCGCTACAGGAGTGAGATAAATGACAAAACAGAGCTCCTCCATGCCTGGCCCATGGTAACATCACCACCACACATTAAAGGAGAATCTTCCTTCCGGTTTGTGTGTCTGTTTTCTTTCAAGTTTGGTATAACAGAACTCTGGAAGCACAAACTGGAAGACCCCATTTGCTATCTATCTTACAAGGAAGATTTATAACACTTGTCCTTTTTTTTGAGCTGATGGTTGTGTGTCTTTCAATATAATCAAATTAAAACAAACAAATAAACAAACCCCAAACTGGTGAGTCAGATACAGTAGAAGAAAAAAACATGGTTCTTTGCAACAGTGTACCAGATAGAAATGTTCATTCTCCAGTATCCCTGTTTTACTCTCCAGGCGCCAAATATTTAATTAACTTTTATTCTTATTTTGGGGACCTTCATTATCCATACTTTCTACTTGCAAGCTGCCCCATTATCCTGTACTGAGCAAGAAAACAATTCCTTATCCTGCATCTACCACGGGGCAAATTCCCTAAATCTTGTGCCTAAAGAGAATCATATAAGAAGAAAAAAAGATTTAGAAGAAAAAAGTTATTTTGTTTCTATTTTCCTGTGGTCATACAAGCAATAAAGACATCCAGACTATGTGAAGATGCTATTTTGCCTGTGCAGAATAGGGGTCACAAATAACAAATACACTGGTTCATATTAAAGCTATACTTTCTCCAAAGAAGAATCAAAATTCAATTCAAGGAGTGATAATGAATGACTCCCAAAACATTACTATGTGAAAAAGAAAGAATACTAAAATAAAGGCTATAGGAAAAGAACTATGTTTATTGGATACTATTGTGTTTAATATTTACTTTAAAAATTGGATGCCACTTTCCCACTTTTCTAGAAGTGAGTTTCTTGCCAAGCCCCTCTGCCCTTTACAAATATATACTATTTCTTACCAAATCTTCAGAAAATATCAAACTTACTTGATGATGCTCTCTGGAATATGGATGCAATCCATTGGGATAAGTCCACTGAGTTCTGATAGCGTACTAACATACTTAATTTTACTGCTGAATTTTGAACTATAAGAAAAGAAAAAAAATCATTGTTACTTCTCCCTTCTAAGATTGTTTCTTTTTCTTACTTTAAAGAGAATAAAAAATAAGAAAAAAACATTAAAAATGATAAAGAGTTTCAAAACAAGATGATAGGAAATCAATAATGGTTGTTATATTGCATATTGTTATCTTCAAAGTAGTTCAGCTTACCAGATATAAGCATGTAAAATTGGTCAAAAAAATTAAGCATTAACTCTTCCTTACAATAAACCAGTAGAAATTAGTAGTACAATTATCTTAGCTATCTTGTGTGTGTGTATATATATGTATGTATATATATTAACATTTTTTTCCTTTCTTTCATTCTTTTCTCCTTTCCTAGCAGTTTCTTTCCCTTTCACAATATCTATTGTACCATATGGATTTTATTTACTCTTTAAATTTCTTATACTAGGGACACATGAAAATCATTTCTGTTTTGTTATTTTGGGTGCTGGGCTTAAACCCAGGACCTCATACTGTTAAGCATGGACTCTGCTCACCGAGCTGTGCCCAGTCTATACATCTTGATATACTTAACCCCTTATACCAGCACTCTCTCTAAGAAGGAAGGTGAAAGTGATTTCAGCAGTCACTATGTGCCAGACACTATTTTTTTGTTGTTCTTGTTTTCGTTTTAAGTTGACAAATAAAAATTGGGTATATTTATTGTGTACAAGGCAACGTTTTGAAATATGTATATATCATAGAAAGACTAAGTTGAAGTAGGTAACTTTTGTATTACTTCACATACAGCAGCTCTCTTGAACTTACTCCTCTAAATGAAATCTTGTATCCTCTGAAATTTCACTCACCCTGGCTCCAGTAACTACTAATGTCTCCACTTCTCAGTTCAACTCCTTCAGGTTCCACATGCAGTTATCCCTACTTATCATATGGAGTTGTTCTAGGAACGCCTAACAGTGCCCAAATCCAGGCACATTCAAGTCTCTTACATGAAATGTGCAGTATTTGTATAGAACCCATGCACATATTCTGATACACTTCAAATTATCTCTAGATTGCTTCTAATACCTAATCCAATATAAATGTTATATGAATATTTGTAATATACTGTATTGTTTAGGAAATAATGACAAGGAGAAAGTTCAAAAGCCTGTGCATATTTGAAAGCACATTTTTTTTGTTTTGTCTGTTTGATACTTTCCATCTGTGGCTGGTGGAATCTGTGGATGCAGAGACTATGGTATACATGAAATGATGTAGTTTGGATGATTTTAAGTGGTTTATATATATTAACTCATATATTTCATATTATGGCTTAGTGAAACAGGTACTATTATTTCCCTCTTTTTTAAGGATAAGGAAAGTGAGGCCAACGGTCTCACTGTTAGTAGTTGATAGAACCTAGATAAACCAGGCAGTCTGACACTCCTGAACATCTGCCACTCTAAGTAGTCACTGGGTTATGGTTTCTTTGTTTTTTTGCTTATTTATTTATTTTTAACAAAAATTATACTATGAGTTCTTCCAGAATCTATCTAGGTTGACAATATTTAAAAATATATGTGAACTCAATTTTCTCCTCATTTTTTAGTTTATTTAAAAATAATTTTACTTCCCCCCCAAAGTTTTAGTTTTAATGTTCATTCCAGATGGGCCAACCTTTAAGGGTATGTCCCAATAATTGAATTTGGATTACAGTTTTCATCTACATAGGGTAATTCTATATGGATATAAATGCACAGGAAACAAGTTGACAGAACAGTAATGAAACTGGTGAAAGAATTTGCATCTGGGGAACTGGTAATCGTTAAGAATTTGGTCCTACCTACAATGATGAGATACATTTCTGAAGAATGTATTTTCTTGTTATTTGAGTAATTGCACATTTTTCAAATGTATAATTTCAACTGAAAAGAAATTTGATCAAGAATATAAAGTTCTTGGCCAGGCGTGGTGGTGCACACCTGTAATACCAGGACTTGGGAGGCAGAGGCAGGAAGATTGCTGTGAGTTCGAGGCCAGCCTGAGCTACAAAGTGAGTTCAAGGCCAGCCTGAACTGCAGTGAGATCCTGTCTCAAAAAAAAGAAAAACAAACAAACAAAAAAATAAAGTTCTTGAATGATTTTTCCTATTATTTGGATAATTATAAATTTTAAAAAATAGATTATTCCAATTGAAAAGGAATTTGTTCAAGGGTATAATATTCTTAAATGGTTTCAAAAACAAATATGCCTCCCTAGTCTACTGAGACTGTGTTGAGCTGCCTGCCAGCTTGCCTGCCTTGTGATCCTTCAACTGCTGTGCATTCTAGAAAGAAGGTTTTTTTCTGTACTTCTCTAATGTTTTACCTGTGGCTCTGACTGAGCTACCAACTGTGATTTGTGGTAAATCTTCCTGTCCATAAAGTCACTTCTAGGCCCCTCGGTAGGTCGTGGGCCAACACACCCGACCGGCGACATGCGACACGCTATGTTCTGCATCTTCCTCACTTCGAGGCTTTGAGCTCAGTGCAGGTTTTGATAGCGCACTGAGTGCAGGGCTGAGGCGCAGGCCTGAGGACACCACAGAGGGGAATCCTCCAGCTGCAGCGGTTCCCTCCCTAGCACTGACAGTTCTCTGAGCCCCTGCTTTCTTCCTGTGTTTACATTCGCTCCTTCTGCAGCTTGTTTCCTCTACCTGAACTGCTCTTTGCCCTCATTTCAGCGAGCCAACTCTACTTGTCTTTCACAGTGCACCTTGCACACTAACCTCTTTGGAAAGCCTCTCCTCTTCGGAAAGCCTCTCCCGACAGACGAGGCCTTTACTTCACACACATTACCCTCAACTCACCCTCACCTTGAGCTATCACCCCCTGCAGTGGTTCAACTGTGCCCCATCTGGTGGTTGTTTACCGTCTGCTGTCCCTGCTGGCTCTGGAGCTCCTTGGGGAGGGGCAGCAGCTGAGCCGTGCAGTTTCTCAGTCTCCAGGGTCTGAGCTCTTACTATAGACCAGTGACTCGCTTGAAAAAATGACTCTGCCATATGCCCATCATAGATGCTACTCTTTAACCATGAAAAGACCTATGATAAGCTCATCTTAGGGGCCCTTTTCAGATCAAAAGTGGTAACGTTGGTACAAACTAAATCAAAAGCAGTCTTTAATGAGGTGCTGACTCGACGGCACCACAGAACGCAACAGTCCAGTGCTTCTAATGCTTATTTTTTAGAATGAGCAGAGCATGCGGTCCATCATCTCCTGACTCCGTTCCTGTGGACTCATGCTGGCAAACTATAGCCCACAGGCCAAAACTGGCTCCCTGCCACTGTTTTCACATAGCTGTGGGCTAAGAATCGCTTCTACAGTTTTTAAATAATTGAAAATAATTGATCAAGAATATTTGGTGATTATCTCAGCACTTTGGGAAGCTGAGGCAGCAATATCACAAATTTAAGCCCAGCTGGGAAAACTTAATGATTTAGTGAAATCTCATCTCAAAATTTAAAAAAATCTGGGGATGTAGCTCAGTGCAAGGGCTCTGGGTTCAATACCTAGTAATGCCAAGAAGAAAAAACCAACAGGTGAAGACTGCAGGAAATTTAGTATTAAATTTCAGTGTCCATAAGTCAAGTTTGATCAGAGTACAGCCCTTACTCATTTACGTAGTGTCTGTGGCCAACACGGGACCAGAGCGTGGGTCCCTTGTTAAACAACACAGATTAAAATTTTAAAAAGGCTGAGGGTGCAGCTCAGTGTGAAGGCCCTGGATTAAATCCTAGCATCACAAAAAATAAAATGAAAATAAGTGAATACTGATCAAAAAAGATAGAATCTGAAAGGTATATTAAAATCTACATAACTAAAATATAATAGATTTTAATATTTATTTTTGTTCTCTAGAAGGTATGAGAACTTTCCTTAGAAATTTATCAATAACTTTGAGCAGGAAAATTTCATAGTATTTAATCTATGTTGTTGGAAGGCAAAGCATTATTTTTAATGCATTCTAGAAAATAAATCCTAGGCCTTTCATATAATTGTCTCAAGTCCTATGATAAGCCACATCTTATGATTCTTTGCATCCCCCAAATATAAGATCACATAATACTTGGCTCAAAAAAAGTGATGAAAAAAACAGGTACGACCGTGAAATCAAGAATCTTTATGTTTGATCAAAATACAATTCTCAAGATGGCTACCTGGACTCTATCCAATTTTGGTGACCCGTATATTTGTTCAGAAGAAATACAATAATGAACATAAGATACGGCTCCTGTTTCTATCCTTGGCTAGTCTTTATTAAACATTCTCATGTTACTACTCTCTTATTCTCTACAAAATAATATATCATTTATAAAGTATTGTCTAAAGCCTGTCCTAATGTGGTACGGAAACCCTACTATTTCATTTTCTATGAAAGGAACACAGTGATCATGTTTTATAGTGATCAGGAGATTTATTCCTTATGAAATAATCACCACTCATAATTTTCACTCTGAAGTTTCACTTTTAATGCTTGATGGATAGTCCAAAGTATCTTTTCAGGAAAGACAGAGGCAATATAAATTTTCCTAGATACTCTTAGTTTATGCATTCCTTTTATAGGACAATTTACATACTTTTAAAAAAGTACTAGTAATATTTTTACTTTTACTATACTAGCAACTATACCTTATAAAAGGTCGTGTCACAGCAAGGATCGTTCTGATGAACCACGATGGATGAACAATTATGAATGATTTCAAATTCTTGCGCAACCTATTTTGAACAAAGAAAAAATAATAAATTACTCTTAACCCATTTTCAGTGGGAATTAAAACAGAAAATAAATTCATGTAAGAATAATTTTAGGAGTTCTAGGAAAATTACTACTCTTATGGAAAGGCATTAGAAAGGCCTTTATTAATTTTTTAAAATGAGAGATATAATTTGATATATATTTTGAAACTTGTACGATTCAAATCTCATTTTCTTAGTAAATGTAAAATAGAATAGTGGTATTCTTGGAGTGCACAAATTTATAACTATGATGGCATATTTTTGTTCAATAATGCCTTTCTTTTTTTAACATTATCTTCACTATTTTGGAAAAAACACTTCATAGCAGTGCAGGCAATTTATATTATTATGCCTTAGTTTCTTTTTCTGTAAAAGAAAATTTACCATTTTAACAATTCCTGATTTTTAAGCACATTTTTGAACATTAGCCACGTTACTTTATTAATGTTTGAATCATAAGACAGATTTTAGTTAACTATAATAGGGTACCCTCAAGTTATGCAACGGGCCCCATCTAAGATGATGCAATACATACTAGATATCATAAATTTTTACTATACTGCTTTTCCTATGGCAATAAAGTGTTCTGTCTTAATTAAAACCAGTATGGACAAAAGTAAAGTGTCTTGTTGGGCATGGTGGCATAAGCCTGTATGGAGGCACTCTGGAGGCTGAGGCAGGAGGACTGCCATGAGTTTGAGGTCAGCCTGGGCTACATGAGCAAGTTCAAGGCCAGCCTACACTACATAGTGAGACCCTGTCTCAAAAAACAAAAAACAAAAAAGTCAAAACAACAACAAAAATAAAGTGTCTTGAGGAAGTGGCAAACAGGGGCACTGCATTGGTGGTGGCTACCTTGAAATATGAGCACAATGGCTGTGCAAATCACCACTGTCCTAGTGCTGGTGAACGACTAACTCACCCAGTACCACTGAGGAACCGTGGTTGTTTGGCTTATCCATTTAACTTGAACCTCTCCGTGGCAACCGCACATGCACAATTTAACATGCACTTGGTCTGCCAGCTTTGAGGTTACATTCTACCAAATCTGGAGGGGCATCGAGTAACACTTTGATCAATATTTCTGTAATTTGTTTCTTCAAATATGCCTAGCTCAGGGTTCCGAAATGGGATCACATTTTTGGTGACTAAAACAGAACCGATGGTGTTGACCTAGGGTGCACAGGCGGGACCCACATACCGCCTGTCAATCATCTGGTAGCACTTCTTCATCCAGCCCAGCCCCGGCATCTTCCGTCTAGGGGTTGCACCGTTCAAGTAGACAACCATGTAGTCTTCAGCCACCATCAGCTCTAACGTGCTTATGACGTAGCTGACCACAGGAAGGAAGAGGCACTTTGAGTTCCCACGCGGACTGTTCCGTCCCATTTACACCACAGTTAGGTAACACTGACATTACAGAGGGCGTGACGTTTCAGGGTAGTTGTACATATTACCTCTTCACCTTGTGAGCATAAGTTACCTAATTTATCTGAGACTGTGGACTGCTCATTTATTTGTATGGTTATCTTTTTTTTTCTTTTAATGAAGGTACCCTAGGAAAGTAGGTGAGTTAAAAAACCTGACTTTCAAAAATGTTAACAATGTTACCAAACATCAAGGGCAACTCACACTAAAGAAGGGCAGATAGAAGCAAAATCAAATTATTGACAGTAGACTAAAAACATATTACTAGGGGAATAAAAATAATACTTTGCCCAAAGGAAACGTTACAAAATTCTTTCATGCAAGGCAGATTCTGCTTACTTTGTTTTTCATGTGTTCTACTGATAAGAGTTCTGTTGGAGGTTTTAGCCTTTTGAACACTGTTCCTTGACAGAAATCTTACTGATTCTTTAAGCAAAGGCTTCGAACAGTCTACATCATCCACTTCCCTTAATTGAGACCCTTTCTCTGCCACTGCACACCAACAGACATCAATTGAAAGCACTTCTTCAGAAGGAGCACTCACAGGAAAAGATTTTCCATGACATAGTGGTAATCCGCCCGACTGCTGTCTGGCAGAAAACAAGCGGCAAACACAATGATGGCATTTAGACCGTCCCCATAGTATCCTGGGGACAAACAAAAAGACATTTGTAAAAGAGTGGAAGTTCTTAACAAGGTAGTACTGAATCTGAGGAATAAATTGGAAGTGTCGGTGTGGGGTGCGTGTGTGTGTGTGTGTGTGTGTGTGTGTGTGTGTGTGTTTGTGTGTGTGTGTATGCCACAGATAAATAATGTAATAAATACAAGCTATACTTCTATAAATATATGCACATATAATTCTCTTGAATATAAGAATATTCACTATAATATGCTTGACATATTATATTGTGTCTTAAACATGTAATGAGAGTATATTTGTGTATACAGAATATACAGATATTATGAATGATTTTATATGCTATCTATCCATAGTTATGAATGGCATGTATAAATAAATATTCAACTTATCAAAGAAGGTGACAAATTTTTATTTCATTTTGTTTTTGTGGTGCTAGGGATTGAACCTAAGGCCTTGTGCATACCAGGCAAGCATTCCACTTCTAAGCCCCATCCCCAATCCTAGGCAACATGTTTTGACTTATGAGTTTCTAATGTATACAACATCAAATTATCTTTAAAGCTAATTCATATAACAGTTCATTCTAAGAGCTTGAAAGATTGTGTAGTCCTCTTTAGTTCCTTTTGGTTTTAGATCACTGTTAATTTGAAGGGTAAATTTAGTCACTAAACTGCAATATAATTCAGAGCTACACAGTTCAGTGATCCAATACTAGTGAAAAGATACTAGTGAAAAGAAAGATGTGATTCGATACAGCTTTCTTTTGATTCTGAGGCCTGTTCACTCTCTGGCAGTGTCCTTGGGATCTCTGGATTCTACAGACCATACATGGATCCATGGAAAATTCTGGCCAGGCCAATAATAACTGTGCACAGAATTCAGAGCTTTGACTCTTAATGAGAAACATTCAAGATATGCCTGGTTAAATTCTCTTTGTATTGGATTGATTTTTTTTTTTTTGTACCAGGAATTGAACTCAGGACCTTGTGCTTGCCAGGCAAGTGCTTGTGCGGCTGAGCTATATCCCCAGCTCCCTAAATTCTCTTTGAATTGTGTGAAAATATGTGCTTTGGGAAAAATTTGAGAATTATTTCATAGTACGGATGCAACTAGAGACCATACTCATAAGTGAAATAAATCAGACTCACATGTGTAAACATCATATTGTCTCCCTAGTGTAAGAAATTGAAAGAATAAGTAAGATCCAAAATGTACAATAGATATTGTGAAAAGGAAAGAAATGGCTAAAAAGGAAAGAATAACTGGGATGGGGGAAAGGAAAAAAGAAGGAAAAGGAAAAAGATATATATATGCACACACACACAAGATAGCTAAGATAATTTTACTACTAATTTCTATTAGTTTCATTGAAAGGAACAGTTAGTGCTTATATTGTTTGATCAATTTTGCATGCCTGTATCCAGTAATCTGAGCAACTACTTTGAAGATAACAATATGCAATACAATAATCATTGTTAATTTCCTATTGAAATTCTGTATCATTATTTTTATTCTCTTTAAAATAAAAAAGAGAACATAAAACTTACCTGTTTAGACATAAAAATAAATAAATAAGTATTATAAAAATGATGTGGCTGGGTTAGAGGTAGTGCTTATAGGTAATGCTGAGAAAGTAAGATCTGAGCAATGCAAATAAATAAGTGTACATATTAAAACTCAAAGGGTGAAGGAATATGCAGTTATATCTCAGGAATTTTTTTTTTCATCTTTTGAGAACAGATGAGAAACTATTACGTGAAGCAATTATAAAACATTAACATAATTTTGGCACTGCCCAATCTTGTAAACAAGCTTTCTATTCCCTTAGGCTCATCTTTCAAAGTCATAGCAGGTATTTGTCAAAGGTATGAAAGTCACAGGTGTTTGTCAAAGGTATGTGGCAGGAATGAAATGTGCCTTTGGCATTTCAGAAGGGAAACAATGCTCTATCTTACCATTTTTGGGGAGGGTGCTGGTGATTTAGCCCAGGGCCTCACCCATGCTAAGCACATGCTTTACCACTGAGCAATACCACCAGCCCCTATTGTTTTTTTTAAATACCCCCATTTAAATATTTAGTTTGTGTCACATAATTCTGTCCTTCAGAGTCATTAAGTAGAGATTCCCTCAATGCTTTGAGTAGGAGGACAGCACATGTGCTTATGTCTGATCCAGTCCTCCCAGAACTGGACTGCTTCTTTTTTTTCTGAACTTTAAATATCTCTCTTGTGATTACATGGCAGTAAAACATGGGCTGGGTATAGATTTGGATGGGATCAACTCTTGAAAAGCAGTTTAATAAGATGTTCTCTACAAGAACAGAGAGTATAACTCTACCACAAACCAGCTGGGGGAAGAGTGAAGTAACTAAAAATATATCCAGTTGTGGGATGTATTACTAATTTGAGGGTATTGTGTACTGTGTTCATACCACTTATCTTCAAAAATGATACTTATGTAAATATATACCCAACCCAACACCTGTTTGTGTGAGGGAATTATCCTAGCTTCTTTCTAGATTTTTTGATGAATTCTATATTTTCCAATATGTAGGTATTTATCATCTTCTTTTTAGGATGGATATATGAAGAAAAGGGTGGGAGGGAATATACTGGAATATATTCAGACTCAGCACAGTGTAAAGCTAAGAAGTCATGCAAATATACAACAGGCATAATGTGTCTCACTTGAAAACAAGGAAGAATACATCTTTCTACATGTAAGTTGCCTGGTTCCAGGGTGTCAGAATTATTTCAAGTTTATGACTGCTCAGTACTTTGATTCCTTTTTCTATTTCCAGAGAATTCCTAAGAGCCTTCTGTAAAAGGGAAAAGAGGTTCCTGGACAGTACTTCAGAAGTCATCTTCCAGGCAATTCACCCATGCTCTGGGTGCTTAGAATGCTGCAGCATCCTACTCACTGGCATTCATTTAGCAAAAGGAACACAGAGGGGGTGACTTATCTCAACCACCTAAACCGAGGAATATTGCCAGGTGTGGTGGCGCACGCCTGTAATCCCAGCACTCAGGATGCTCAGGCAGGAGAATCATTGAGAGTTCGAGATCAGCCTGGGCTACCAAGTGAGCTCAAGGCCAGCTTGAACTGTATAGCAAGACCCTGTCTCATAAAACAACCACCACTAAAAGAACAAAAACAAAAACAAAAAAACCCTATGGAATATCTCTTTAGATCAAAATGGCTGCAATTCACAGCTGAAAAATGGCTCTGTACTTTTGGGTAGCGAGGTATTTTCTGTAAGAAGGGAGAAGAGACAAAGAAAAAATAAGAAACTAGGAGAGGAGATGATTTAAGACAGGAAACAGAAAAACAAACAATTTCCACATGAAAGTGTTCCCTCTAAACCAAGAGTTGAAGTTTACAGTCTTCAGAGATACTTCAGATAAAGACTGCTGGCAAAATGCAACATGGAGAATGAGCAGGACAGTATGCTTTTTGCCCCCAATCCCACCCTGATGCTTTCTTGGGCAAGCTAACCCTCCAATTTCTGTCCTAAGATACACAGTTAATCCAGGTAGAGCTGTCTGCTGGCAGCAGTGTAATTCATATAGAGCTTGGCTTTTACACCGTGTCTTTGGTCAGACTGTCAGTAAACGTGTGGGGAACATAAGGTCCTCTGCTGGACACGTGTGCAAGCCTGCTGTGGAGCCTCCTGGGACCCTCGGAGCGGTGATGGTAAACCTTACCTGCAGTGGCACAGAGAGGCATGAAAGGGATGAGACACAAGTTTGCGGCCAAATGGGATGGAGAGAGGAGGAAAGATGTCACATGGCAACCAAAACATATACACACACACACACCAGCCAGCAGCTCTTCTGCTCATTCTTTCCAGGAGCATTTGTCCAGCAACACTGTGGAGAAGGTTACCTGAATCTCCTAGAGTGAAATAAAACAAGAAGAAAGAAAGAAAAAAAGAGAGAGAGAAAGAGGGAGAGAGTGAGAGAGAGAAAGAGAAAGAAAAACGAAAGAAGAAACTCCTTGTTAACCTTCTTCAGCATGATTATCCTTGGTTATTTAAATGTTTTAAGTTCAAAGAAGCCAGTTCTGGCCTCCATATGACCCCATGCCACTGGCTGAGCAAACCACTGCAACACTTTTTGCTTTTTCAGTTAAGCAGAGGGCAGGGATATTGCTTTTAGGACTGTGAGATACAAACACCAGGGCAACTGAGCACCCCCATTTGGCTGATGAAGTCACTGAGAAGGTAAGTGAAGTGCTAGTGCAGAGACTTGCAAGCGACAAAGACAGACCTTGAATTCATTCCTCTACAGTGTGGACAGGGCCTCTGGCAACAGGTGATACCAAACGGAAGCCTTAGTATTATTTGTTTACTAACTGGCGCCGTTGGGAGCAGTTTGCAGTGCCTGGCTCTGAAGCCACTTTCGGCAACTCTTTTGGTCACTCCCACCTTGCAGTTGACTGCACAGAGTACTGTTTAGCTGGAGCTTCCCCTCTGGCCTGACTGGGAAAATATCTTCGTGGGGTTTGCTCTTTCAATGCTCATCAGAAGCCACGCTGACCAAATCAATGGGTGATAACTAGGACACTTTATCATTATGAGGTCTAATAGAGTGGTGTATATTTCCAATATGGAAGACAAAGCTTTGGCCAGTTCAGAAGTAACATCTGCATGATCTTCACCTAAACGGCACAAAAACTGTTCAGCATGTAGGGAAAGGTGGCATCTCACTAATGTGCCAGGCGGGTGCAGCCCGAGGCGCATTCATGCAGCCCACTGCCCGGAGAAGGCCGAGGGGGAGCCAGGGAGCAGGGAGGAGGCCGCTTCAAAACAAACCGGACAGTCACACAGACAAAAAAACCAAGCTCGCAACACACGATGGGGAGCAAATGCCGTGGAAAGGAGGTGGCAGGGATAGAGAGCTCAGCAAACCAGGTTAGCATGGAGTTTTCAGGCAGATTTCTACAGAGACCAGCACAGGCAGACGCAGTGGTTTTCCTGCCCCTCAGTGGACTGACGAACTGCATACCAGGGCAATGGGATTAACCCGTCCACCCACCCCACCTGGTTTCACTGCAGTTGAAAAACAAGTACGAGAAGTACTGAGATGACTTGCCCTTACCATAGCAGCGAAACTATGCACCTGCCTTCCTTATAACATGACAACTCTGAAGACTGAGACATAAAAATGAGTATAAAGACTATCACTGACTTTGATTTATGTTGTTCTGTACTGTTTAGACTAAGACTACACTACTTTCATAGTTAGCCTTCATTTTGATTTCCACAAAGCAAACAAACCAAAAGTACCTTATGCAAAGTAGTAACCCCCAGGAAGGTTTGGGGAGTATTCCAGGTGTGGTTTTCATACTAAGAACAAAAGCATGACTCATGGGTCAGCTGTCTGTCCTTCGTTCTGCAGGGCTGTGGGAAGTTTCTTTCTGAGGGAATGAGGGAACGGCCCCACATGAGAGCAGCTACGCGGGGCCATGCTGCTATTTCAGGTGGTGGAGTGCGAGACCAAGGGTTCCGCTGGCGTCTTCCTTCACAGTCATGTTTGGGCTGTCTGGCTGGTCCTGGCACTTATCGGGCGAGCAATGCAAGGGGTAGAAAGTGAAGGATCTACTGGTGGAGGGATGTTTGATGGAAACAAAATGCCTTTGTGCTCCTTAGAAAGCAAATGTTGTGGATTTAATGCAGTGTGAAGACTCTTATTTCCCTGTCCTCGTTCTGGAAGAGAGAACGTGGGAGCAGTAATTGCCTTGTCAGCTTGCACTTTTTCTGGGACAGCTGGGAGGTAAGAGTGGCACTGGAGGACAGCAGGAAAGGAGCACATGCAGGAGAAGAAAAAAGCCATTGATATTTTCTGAAGTCAACAACGTTAAATGTGTTGCTAGAGCTTGCCCGACTTTTTGTGAGTTCCAAATTAGTGAAGGCCACACATGCTCCTGGAGAGCCCAAGAAAGCCCTGGAAATACAAAATACGCTTTCCCTTTTCCTGGTCCCTCAGCAGGCAGGGGAAGCTTTGCTTGGGATCAGCTGTTGTGAGGCATGGATATAAAGCAGTTTATAGAAATGCAAACTTCGGGCAGGGAAAAAGTTACTAGGCTGAGTCTAAAAATGCTTCCTAAAGCTTCTGAGGAGGGCTCAGAAGACATTTTGTGACTCGAAGCCCCTCAGGTGCAGTGGCTTCCCTAGAGGCCAGGGTGTTGTGTCTTCTAAACTGTTCATTTAACCCCACACCCCATGGAAATTCTAAACAGACTGCATCATACTGGACAGCTATGGTGTTAGAGAAATTTGCACAAAAATCTTAACAGGTATCAGATATGAACTGTGAAAAGCTCTCCTTTTTTTTTTAATACTGGGAAGTTGCTTTTGCCTAGTAGGCTTTCAGATTTTTATTGAATAGTGGTAATATCCTTAGCACTCAGTCTCCTGAACATAGACTGCTGGGGGATGTTATACCCCGGAGAACCTCACCTCTGTTTTCCAATTTAAAACTATGCCCCCTCCCATTTCCTGGACTCTCGGAGCTTGACTACCTCCATGAGAGATGACTCTACGGTAGGGCTCGATGACCTTCATGTCTATCCGTTGCTCTTGTTCTCCAATCACCACTGTCCTCCACAGCCGGTTGTCTTCACGCTCTTCTTCAGCCGTGTATTCTGGAATAGACTCTGACTCTTGGCCAGAGTCTTTGTTGACCACAGAATCTTCTGGAAATGAAAGAAAGCAGGGCTGAAGGAACACAGGCTTCACAACAGAGGGCACAAAATGGTCTGGTCAGAAGCTCCTTCCTGGTAGAGCCACTGGGATGAAACTCCCACTGTGTACAGGCTTTATAGAGTGTAACCCCACCCCGACCACACGGAGTCCCTTCAGTTGTCTTCTGTCCTGACTGACTGAGTAACCAAATTCCCTGCTAAGGCCATTCCGCGGGTCAGAGAGCTAAGTCTAGAGCTGTCTTGTGTCCATAGTGGCCCAGTACAAGATGAACTGGTACCAACCCATTCTTAATCACGCAGGTTATTTACTTATCAGTCCCAGGCAAGGTTGGTTTCCTTGAGCCACATGTCCTGCTTACTCAGTGGTTGAAAGCACCTGATTACTCAAAGTACTCAAAGCTTAGTATCTTGATGACAAGACAACTTAGGTCAAGACCCTCTTCCAAGACTCTTACAACAGGGTTGAATCCCCTGACCTCTTGGGGGAACATCTGGACATACATTTGATGCTATTTCCTATGCATTCTGCTTCAAAATGTGCTGAAGTAAGGGAGAAACAAAACAAGTTTAGAGATCAGAAATAGTCCAAGGCCCCAAATTTGCAAGACTCCTAAATCTGTGGGGCCATAAGGCAACAATAACAACAACACAAAACCCACTGAGTATTTTTTGGCAAGAAACTTACTCTTATATATTCAAAACGAAAGAACCCATGTGGTTCATCCACTTCAGCTTCTACTGTACTCCCAACTTGGCAGCTTATTAAGGACACAAAGCAGCAACTTTTGGGGGCTGGGGATTTAGCTCGGCAGCAAAAGCGCCTGCCTGGCAAGCGCAAGGTCGTGAGTTCGGTTCCCGGTACCGGAGAAAAAAAAAAAAAAAAAAAAAAACTCAAAGCAGCAACTTTCAGCTTCCAACCAAGCACTACTTACATGGGCAAATCCACTTATCTGTCTGGAATCCCTTCCTGCTCCTTCCTTTCTGCTTGGGTTAGGAACCTCGGATGCGAATCGAAGCTCCCTTTCTGGGATGCTACTGTCCACCTGTCTCTATTGCCTCAGAACTCTGAGCTCTGATGTGGGTTTGTCTTCTGATGCCACTGCACACACATACCCTTGTCTGCAAAGAGCTCCCCATTCAAAGCCTCTGCATTGGCTTCAGTACTCTCAGGTCTGCTTACTTTGACTCTGGGGATCTTGTTGGGGGTGCTGTTTAAGGAGGGTGAAAGTGGGGGGCTTTTTTGTTGTTTTTTTTTTTTGAGAGGGGGTCTTATTATGTAGTTTCAACTGGCCTTGAACTCACTTTGTAGCCCAGGCTGGCCTTGAAGTCACAGTGATCCTTCTGCTTCGGCCTTCCATGTGTTGGGATTACAGATGTGCACCACCAGGCCTGGCCTTAAGTGGGGTTGTTTTGTTTTATTTTCACATGGTTTTATTGAAGTTGCTTCATTAAAACCTTTTCTATATATCACAGTTTTTACTCTGGTTATGAAAATAAAATGGAGATCACACAGATACAATCAACTGATCTTTGACAAAGAAGCCAAGGCAGTGCTATAGAGCAAAGATAGTCTCCTCAACAAATGTTATTAGAACTGGACATTTATGTGCAAAAAAATCAATCAAACTATAAAACTCCTGGAACATAAGAGGAAACTTAGTTAACCTTGGGTATGGAGTGATTTTTTAGACCTAACACTAAGGTATGATCCATGAAACCAATAATTTTTTCTTTTGTTTTTTTTTGGGTATCGGGAATCGAACTCATGACCTCAGGCTTGCCAGGCAAGCCTTATGCTGCTGAGCTATACCCCCAGCCCTTGAAACCAGTAAGTGATTAGGTAGAATTTAGTAAAATTAAAAATTTGTGCTCTGTGAAAGACAAAGTCAAGAGAATAAAAAACCAAGCCACACACTGGGAGAAAATATTTATAGAACACACATCTGATAAAAGACTATTATCCAAAAGTACAAAGCAGAAAATGGACAACTGTAATAAAAAAAACACAGAAAAGACATGAATAGACACCTCAGCAAAGAAGATATATAGATAGCAAGTAAGAACATAAGAAGACATTCGATATCACATGTCACTGCAGGACTGGAAATTAAACTTGCAAATAATGGGATTCCACTACGTATCTATTAGAATAGGCAAATTCCAAGGTATTGATAACATCAAATATTGATAATTATATTGGTAATAAGTATTGATATTACCAACATCAAATGGAGCAATGGGAATTCTCATTCATTACTGATGGGAATGCAGAAAGACACAACGACTATGAAAGAGAGTCTGGCAGCTCCTTACAAAGTTAAGCACATTCTTCGTGCATCCCCACAATCATACTTCTTGATGACGACTCAAATGACTTGAACATGTGTAGCCACATAAAAACTTATGCATGAATATTTATAGAAGCTTTATGTGCCAGGAATATAGCTCAGTGGCATAGCACCTGGTTGGCAATTGCAAGGTCCTGAGTTCGATTTCCAGTACCAAAAAAAAAAAAAGAAGCTTTATTTGTAACTGGCAAAACTGTAAAGCAACCAAGATCTCCTTCAGCAGCTGAAGGAAAAATAAATGGTGGTACATCCATACAACAGAATATCGTTAAATGCAAGACATGAAGAGACACAGAGGAAACTTAAAAGCCTAAGTATAAGAAGCCATCTGAAAAGTCTACTTCCTGTATGACTCCAACATATGACACTGTGGAAAGGGCAAAGCTGGGCAGACCTTAAAAGAGTCAATTTCATGATGATGGAAATTTATTTTATTCTATGCTGTTACTGCTTCTTATAAAGCATTTGCTCTAGCAAATATCTTGATACAGGCATCTTACTTCATTTGTGCACATATTACTACACGGCTACCTTTTAGCAGGAGAAAGCTGGATCTGTGGCCAGGGTGGAGAGTTTTGTCCTTGAATACGTCACACTGAAATATAAGTGAGAGCACCTGTTTTCTCCTCTTGTTACAAAACCCCAGGCTAAAGAAGCTTTTATCCTTTGATAACTGAAGATGGAAATAATCTCACTGTTGTTTCAATTTGAATTTCTCTAATAAGGAAGAATTTAAATGTTTACTGGCTACTTATATTTCTCTTACTAATATGGAGGCAGCTAATAAATTTTTTACACACATGATCCTTATTGATCTGTTGAAATTCTTTATATAGAATTTAGCTATGTGTTGTAATTATTTTTCTGCTTTGTGCTTAGCTTTTAAATCTAGATATTCCTACATATATTTTTGCCCAACAGAAATTTTAAAATTTGATATTACTAAATTTTTTCTCTTCTAAAATTATAATAGGAAAGGACCTCTATCTTACATGCATGTGTATATACACACATCCATCCATACAGACACAGAAACACACACATTTTCTTACAAACAGCATTACTAGTCATTTTGGTATAAAAAGTTCAGGGCTGAGTGCTTTTATAAGGTGTTGCGCCTAGTATTTTATTGTGTGGGAACTGGCAAGTTGCTGGGGGTCTCTCATCCCTTTCTCTTTTGATTGATGTGAAAGTGGGAAAAAGAATTATTTAAGAGCTAGGGATATATTAAGTTCTCTTAAGTTCACTTCTAGAAGTGAACAATACAAGCTAGTCAGAAGTAAAGACAGCTTTACTGACTCCCTTCAGTAAGAAATGCTCTCTTGATCTTAATAATTCTTCTGCTGTCACTATAAATTACCATCTCCTCCCATGCTCTCTTCATGCTGAGCTTGCAAAAATATTCAGGTCTTGTTTAACTCTCTGTCCCTAGGCGCTCCAAATTTAATTTTTAGTCTCATCCCCTCTTTACTTAAGAAATGCTTGTTTTATTTTCTCAAATATCAGCTTTCTCCCTGGACTGTGGAGTACAATTAAACCCTCACAGGGGAGAGGTCAAATGAATTCTCCCTTTTTCCTTTTTGAGATGATTTAGCATATAAGCTCTTGAAAGTTCTGTGCTACCCAAACCACAATGGGAAATCCATTCTTGACGTTCACTTGGACTAACTAGAGAGGAAGTTAGCTGTGGCTTCTAGTAGGGACCTCCATTTGTGAAAGGTGACTAGGTTTCTATATATTATTCTCTTAAAAATAATGATAATGAAAATAATATTCTTAAAAGACATTATGTTTGAGGAGAAAAATGTCCAGTGTGATCATTAATCACATGTCAACTTGATTAAGAAATATCTACCTAAGCCATATATAGTCATGCACACCTGTAATCCCAATATTCTGGAGACTGAGGCAGATGGTTGCAAGTTTGACCCAGACTAGGCAATTTACTAGGATCCAATCTCAAAATGAAAAAAAAAATATAAAATGGGCTTAGGATGTGAAGGCTTGGGTTCAATCTGAGTACTGAAAGGAGGAAAGGAAAGAAGAAAGGAAGAGAGGGAGGGAGGAAGGAAGAGAGGGAGAAAGAAAGGAAGGGAAGGAGGAAGCAGAGGGTAGGAAAGAAAGGCCTAGCAGATTAGTTAAGCACACTTCTGACGGTGGCTGGGTATGTCATGGAGGCATGACCTTGGCTACTATACAGCACATGGTCCCTAGCTCCTTCTTTTCTGGCCTTGTTCCTTTGTTATCCCAGCTGCCACTAACCGAGCAGCTTTGCTTCACCACACCCTTCCACCATGATGTTTCTGCCTTCAGGGGTCAACTGACCGTGGACCGACTCTTCTAAAACCATGAGCCCAATTAAACCTCTTTTTAAAGTTGTGGGTGTCAGGTATTGTGTCAGGAAAAGCTAATACATTCCGTGTAGAACTAAGAAGTCTTTAAAATTCTCTTGATGGTAAACAGCAGACGGGAAATTAATTTGAATGTACAATCTCAGTATACAAAAATACAAGGAAAAATCATCCTTTCAGACAACACTATTATGACATAGGCTGCTTGTGGATGAAGCACAGTAAACTTAACACCTAGTTTAAATGCAGACTTAAAACAAGGAACTAATTCTTATAAGTGAATGGCCTATGTATTTTGCAAATATAGAAAATCACAGATAAAGACATTAAATGAAGTGGTGCCCTGATTACTTGGAAATAATGTTGGGGTGCCTTATCAACCCAGAAAACTATCATTAGGGCTTAGTTTTAGAAAAGACATCTTAGGTAACGTTATTAAATATCACTAGGAAGCCTAGGAAGGAAAAGTACAAGAGTGCATGAGTGTTTCCTCTAACATTCTTATCAAAAATATGTAGGCAAAAATTTTTTTGTAATTTTTCCACTTCCCATATGAAATACTTTTGCTGAAATCTAAGTTAGAGCAAAAATTACTTTGTGGTTGGTTTGGAAAATAGAAATAGTTCATCTTTTCCCCTTGACCTTTGGATATTAAGTTTTTAGGGTTGGTATAATAAAGGATTTTTAAAAAACACTAAGCTTGTTCTTAAAATGAAAATCTGACATCCTAAATCCTTCACTTCTGACACCTTTCTGATCTCTTTGACATACTGTAAATACCACATGTGTTTTCAAGCACTTACTTTACACTTCAGAACTAAAATGTATTTCTAGTCTATTCTTTTTATGCAGTCAGCTGTCTATCTCTGCATATTTTTACAAAGTGATACAAAATTAAGAGAATTAAGGAGAATTTTAGATTCAGCTGATATTAAAATTGTGTCTTTTGAGTTTAAGACCTGGAAGGAGGGTTCTGGACATTAAACTGCTGGCTCTTTCAACATAACAATATCAACTAAATAAAAACAACTATGTCAGCAAGTGGCAGCTTTAATTATCAGCTTGCTCAGCCACCACCACTTTGCTTAGCAGTTTTACTGTTTATAAAAATAAAAGGCTTAGATGTGTGACAAAGCTCTCTGTGGCAACATGGAGGTGAAGGAGAAGGAGAGGGAGCACCAGCAGTGCCATGCCACAGCTGTCTTCTGCAGGATTTTAAGTCAATATATTAGCAGTAAAAGAGCTGGGGCCATTGGGCGAGCCAGCATGGAAGGAGTAGCTGGTGAAGATACTCAGGTGGCAGGAACAAATATGAATTCAATACCTTCCTTCCCTTTGTGTTTGTGTATGTCAACCTACAAGATCAGATACCCAGATAACTAGAGTCAGCCCTGCACATCCTTTGGTTCCACATCTGCAGAGTCAACCAAGTGAAGGTAGAAAATATTCAGGGAAAAAAGTTGCATGTGTACAGAATATGCAATCACTTCTCTCTCAATCATTATTCCCTATACAACAACTACTGACATAGCATTTGGATTGTATTAGGCATTATAAGTAATCAAGAGATGACAAAGTATCTGAGAAGACAGAAGTAGGTTATAGGCAAATACTACAGTTTGAGAATGATTTTTTGAGTGGTTAAGTTTTGATATCTATTTGGGGTCTTGAAACCAATCTGCCACAGATAATAAGGGGAAACTATATAGAAATTCATGATAAAAATGCAAAATAACCTCTATTTAAACATAGCAACCTTTAGAACAAGTAGTTTACTGCTTCTACTTTTTTAACTTGAGGAAATAAAGCCTTAAGTCTGTGAAGATAGGGTCTAAGTTTGTACTGATCTTTAGTTCTAGTTCTGGTGGCTCAATGACCATTGGTTGAATTAATTAGTTAATTTAATGAAGATCTTAATACGTTCCTGCATGAGTGGGATGCCTAGAATTAGCATGACTCTAAAAGTCAGGGCACCACTGAATTGTGGTACTGCTGTTTAAAACTAGAAAAAGTTTTACAATTAAGAAGAAATAATAGTTGTGGCCAACACTCTCTCATTTTAACTTGCAAATGTAACTTCAGGATGCCATCCTGGGTAGACATGAAATGGAAACTACACAATACCAGTATTTTTACAAGTAAATGTTTTATATTTGCATATAAATCTTAACAAACAAAACTTCACTGAGCACGGAAAAGAACTAAAGTGAGACTGATATTCATATCAGGAGTGACAGACTAATTCCGTTAGTCTGGCAATTTTTAATTTTTTTTGTTTTGTCTTTCCTCCACCCCACCCACTCCATCCTTTCTCCCTTCCTACTTTATAGAGACGCAGATTTAAACACAATAAAAACACAATTTAAACACAATAAAAACTCTAACTTGGTGGGAAAAGAGATGATAAACATGGAAACAATAGGTAAATAATACAATTTCAGTGAATGGCACATAGAAAAGGAAATGAACACTGGGCTAAAGTGTGGATGGGTTAAGGAAAGCAGGGAGGTGAAAAGCACCTTTGACTGCAGAGGCAAGGAAGGCCTGTCCAAGGGGGTGGCACCTGATCAAGGTCTGCACACAGAGAAGAAGCTGGACATGCAAGTTCATTGTAGTGGAATGAACATTCCAGACAGTAGAAGCTTGTATTAAGAAACTGGGAAGCCCTGACTCCGCTTCCTCAAATTTTATCTTCCAGGTTAATTTCTCTTTCTCTGCAAACCCAGCTCCAGTTTCCTTACAACACAACAGATAGCAGCCTAGGGGCTTTACAACAGAGCCATGGTCCTAAGTGACCTTCATGAACCATACCTGCTCTGGCACACTCTAGAATCCGTCAACATTGGCCACCTATGGCCAAGACACAGACAAAACCTTCCAGAAATCACACACAGGAGCCACTGGCACAAAAATGATGGATTTGTTCCTAACGCCACTTAGATAATCTTTTATTTATTTATTTAACTTTGGCTTTGTCAACTTAGTGACTTACCATGGCCGGTATATTCAAAAGGATCTGCTTCATCAGGAGTATCAAGTTCATCTACATTGATGTCAATTCCATCTGGGCTGTCCAGGTTATCATCAGAGAGAATGGATCCTTCACTTTGGTCCAGAGAAAGACTGATATTTGGGGCTGTGAGCCTGATTCTCCGAGGATGAGTGCCATTAAGATCCAGTGAATTAGGAGGTTCTAAAGAAAAACAATAGTAACATTTAATATTAGACTATACATGGCTGTCAAGGGTGGGCTTGGCCCTTTCATTTATTAAGACTATTTCAGCAAAGCCAGATCTGCCAAAAGCCCTAATAGGGGATTTGGATCCCCTTCTTGATAGCAGGCCTCAGTACTGGCTTCCCCAAGTTTCATCAGCACCAGCCACGTAAAAATAGGAAGGGACAGCTATTCCTAAAGAGGTAGAAAGTAGTTTTTTAAACATCTCTGTTCATCTTTAAGTACTTGATACTGCTATAACATTGAATTGGATTTTTATGATGGCTACTGCATAATAAAAATCGGTTAAGTATATATTCTCCAATTATTCTTATCAAGTTTGCCCCTAAAGAATGGCAGTAAGGCCTCGGGATATAGCTCAGTGGCACAAATACCTGCCTGGCAAGCCCAAGATCCTGAGTTCAATTCTTGGTACAAAAAACAAAAAAATGGCAGTAAATAACTGTTGATAGATACTCCCAAAATACTTTACAGATCCTTAAATATGATCTTTAGTGACCTTTCTTGTTTTGTTTTTTAAGTAAAACCTGAAGTACCCTCTCTGGTTATGTTCTTTGAACCTACATAAGCAGTCACTACCTATTACAGGAGTGTTGCTTGATACTGGTTTCCATAACACCTGACAATCTTATGTTCAGGCTCACAGAGGTAGCTCCCCCACTTTCACTGTAGAACATATTTTTGGCCATGTGCCTTTCATTTAATAGAGGCAGTGCTTCAAAAGTCATTTTAAACCAAGTTTTAAACCAAGTTAAACCAAGTTTATCCCAACCAAACAAAGACAAATATCCTAATGTGGTATTATAAGAAAAGTATTTGATCTTTATCTCTGGTTCTAGGCTGAGCTCCTAAAATTCTCAGAATTACCTGAGAGGTAGGAGTGTCTTTTGCTTTTGTACAAAGCTCTTTTTGACCATAACTGAGTTTATGCTAGAAAAGTAACTTGAAGCGGGGTCCCTACCTAGCCTTAGGAGGGGGCTGGTCACTGAAAAGACCAAGTGATTAGAAAACTGGAACTTATCCCCACCCACTGACCTCTGGGAAGGAGGTGACAGGTTGAAGCTGAGGCTTTATGAATACACTTGAACAACAAGTTTGATGACCTTCTGCAGTGCTAAATGCATTAAAGTTCTTGGAGGGTGGCACACTTGTAAAGGGCACTGAAACTCCATGCTACTTCCTCTATACCTTTTGTAAAATCTTGAAAAAAACATGATAAAAACTAATCTTTTAACAGCACTTCAAAATGGGGTAGAGATCATTAGGGGACTTGTACGCTATCAAGATGCTGCAGGGAAAAGGAAATCTGGAACTTGGCACAGGAATGCGAGCGAGTGTTTGAAGTGGTCCAAGTCTGCAAAAGCCACTAATATCTTTAATGACTGTTGCAGCTGCAACTGTCTGTCACAAATGACAAATGCACTTCTCACCTTGAGCCAGTTCGAGAAGTCAATCATGTGTGCCCAGTGATGTGTAGCCTGTGTTAGAACGTCTTTACTGCACCAATCATTTTCTTTCACATGTACCTTGTGGGATTCCCTCTCTCCCTGACTTCTCCTCTTTTAAAAAAAAACAAAAACCTGCATCATCTGAGCTTCTCTGGAGCACTTTTACAGCTGTCTGAATTTGTGTTTTTAAAAACTGCAATTCCTGAGCCCTAGATAAAGTTCTCTTGTTTCTCCTAGGTTTGAACTGACTGACATTAAATGGTGTCAGAAATGGGATCTAAGTGGCTTGTTTCTACCTCTGATGCTTCTGAGGACACGAGCACAGGTGCTTATGTGACTCATGTATTCCCCCTTGATCTCCCGGTGACTTCAGATTGTGAAAGTAAATTCTCTTAGTCTCCAAACTTTCCATCTCTTTGGTCAAGGTTCCAAAACTTTTTGGTGTCCTTTGTTGCCCGCTTCTTAGGAAGAAAGTCTCTTATCTAGTTGTCTAGGAAAGACATCCTGCTGGTCACTCATTTTCTAAGACAGGTAACTTTCACCTTGGGTTAGTACTTTGGGAAATTCCTCCTTTAAGAATGCTGCTAGTGGGTAATGACCAGCCACAACTCTGGCTTCTTTGATGGCTAAAACCTATGGGCCTTCCTGCCTTGATGGACTGAAAGTGCTCACATGGTGTGAATTATGGTAGCCCTATTGGGGTCTTCTGATATTTCAAAATTAGTTCACTGGTGTGCTCAATTAGAAAAATGTTATACAACTAGACAACCCGAATGTGACACATACTTTTATTGGCACTTTTAGGTTATTAAATAGAATAATGCTTTTCTTAGGGAGACAAATTCATAGCTGTCTCTGGCTAGCCTATACTTAGCAGGGGGAAATTATTCCAAAGATGGTTTGGGTTAAGTTTCAGCTGGCTAAAATCCCTTACTGATGGTGTCACTATTTCTTGCTATTCTTCTTGTTGCTTATAAATACCTGGGAAACAAAACAAATAGCTTATTTAATTATAGTTTCTTAGCTGATCTTCAGGAAGACGCAAGTACTCTGGTCAAACAACATTGTCTGACCTGGATTGAAAGAAAGGTCCCATACATTAGTTGTCTTAGTTGAACAACTTTCCCAAAATCTTGCTTAAAACAAGTCAAAGGAAAAAGATACTAAAATTATGGATCTCAAATCCAAGTTGCTCATCTCATGAGTCTCCTGATGATGCAATTTTTCTCTTAAACTAAATTCCTCAGACTCCTTCAGTTCTAAGGCATTTGTTACTACTGATCTATAAATCAAACTACCTTATGAGCCTCTTGACTCAGGACTGATTGATGACAACCTGGTATTGACTGGCAGCACCTAATGGAATTCAAGGGCTCTGTGGAACCCATCTCTGGCCCTGGCTTCCCCTCAGTCGAGTTGGACATTGTACTTTGGGATTTCCCTCATTGCAAAGATATATTCAATCTTCCTTTTACATGGGCCCTAATGGCTTTTATTGCTAAAAGACAGATGGATTCAATCAGTATTTCAGTGGTGCAATTGTTTACTTTCTATGTTTCTCCCAACTTTAGGGCTATAATATATGACTGAACTATAAGATATGATTGCCCACATATAAGCACTAGATAATTTTACTCAGCAAACCCTAAATGATAGCTGACAAGTACTAAACTTGGTAAATATAGCACCAAAATGTCCGTAATGGGAAAAGTAGGCTTACAAAAATAGATGGCACTTAATATCATCACCACTTCTCAAGGGGGCACTTGTGCTGTTATTAAAACAGTGCTATGTTTATATACCTGACAAATCATCAAATATCATTCATCTCATGAATCATATGAAAAAACCAAATTGCTCTCTTAAATGATCTGATACCTAGCCTAGGAAAATTATTTAAAAAGCTGCTTTGGGTTAAATTTTAGTGAGCTAAAATCCTTACTGATGGTGTCATTATTATCTCCTTGTATTCTTACTGCTGCTTGTAATTTTTCTGAGTTTTAATACAATGTATAATTCACTATTTAACTACTTCTACTCCCAGAATAATTATCTCACGCTGACTGCAAGCATGCAATCATCTTATTAGGCAACCTCCGAAGAAAATTATGAAATTATTGTCTCAGCCCTGCTCCTCAACTGCTTCCTTGTTGTCACTCAAATGTGGCCTTAAACTATTCACAGTCACTTCTTCCACTCTTGAAGGGTACGTGATTTACTGGGAATGAGCCTTCCCAGCTCTGTGGGATAAGGTCTCTACAAAATCAAGACCCAATCCAAAGATTGATTATTGATACTTCTTAATCATGGTCAACAGGAGGAAATATGAAATCCAGAAGAAAATCATGAAAACCAAGCAACATTTAAAGAGCATTTCAAAATGGAGTTGGGAAGTCATCAGGTACCCAGGAATTACACATATGTCAGACTGCTGCTGAAGAAAATGAACTCTTGAACTGTGTACGGGACGGGAATGTGAACTTTAAAACTGGGTCAACTCTGCAAACAGCACTATTATCTTTTAATGAATGCTACCATAGCAACTGTCACAAATGACAAATGATTTTTCATTTAGAGACAGTCCTATAAGTTAATCATGTACAGCTTAATGATGAGTAGCCCAGTATTAGGCTAACTTTTCCACACCCCTTTCCTTCACATGTAACTAGTGAGATTTCCTTTCTCCTCATTTTCTCCTTCCCTTTAGAAAAACCTGTACAACCTGAACTTCTTTAGAGCATTCATTCAGAGCTAATGAATTTGTGCTTCCCTGAAGTACAATTCCTAAGGCTCCCAAACGAAGTCCTTTGCCTTCATAACTTCTAAGTGTGAAATAATCACCATGTGCCTATGTACCCCATCATCTATTCATCTGTGTCCTTTATATCTTCTATAGTAAACCAGTAAATGGAAGTAGTATTCCCATGGGTTCTGTGAGCTGTGCTAGCAAAGTACTAAGCCTGAGAAAGGAGTCTGTGGGAACCCTAAAGCTAGTTGGACAGAAGCACAGTGCAGCCTGAGACCTGAAATGGTGTCTGACGTCTTGTGAGACTGTGCTGTTCACTTCTGGGAGCTGGCACTCTCTTTAGTTAGTGTCGGAACTGAACTACAGGACACTCGGGTTGGTGTTCTCTAGAGAACTGCTTGTTGTATGTGGAAAAACTCCTACATATCTGGCCATTGAAGTGTTCTGTCTGTGCGAGAGTATCATAAAAGAAAAGTCTCCTGTTTTCATCTATAAACTGAAGAGACCAGTTTCCCCCGCACAAAGGTATTTGAAGGTCATCTGGTATATCCCTCAACCCCAGAATTTGAACTCTGGCATGTGCTAAGGAAACCAGCACTGTTCCTTTATCATTAAGATCTTTCTTTTCTGTATACATTGTCACCAGACTATGTACCATGTAATATTTTTATGTATTACTTGAGAAGAACGTTCTAATGACATTTGAAAAACACTGCGTTGCTATATTATAGGAATTCTCAGGGCAATGATGTCCATAAGAATTTTTGTGATGACATAACTGTTTTATATATGGCTATTGAGCAATTAAAATGAAGTTAGTGTAATTGAAGAATGGAATTTTAAATTTTTATTGTTAATCTCAATTTAAATAGTTATGTGCATTTAGCTGCATCCATATAGGGTAAGCATAGCTTCAGTACCTTTACTATTCCAGAGTATGTTGTGTACATTGAAGAGAGACATACAATGGTTATTATTGGGCACAGAAAACCTAAAAATAATTATGTCACATATTGTGACTTTTAAGAATGTACCTTAAATACTAGAACAGAAAACAAAATCATTTACCTCTTTTCTTGCTACCCCATCCTAGGCTTGGCTAAAAATACCATGGTACAGGATCTAGGTGTGATCTTACAGTGGGTATGGTTGAAGAGAGTGATTCTAGCACAGAATGAGCCATGCAGGTTGCAACTGAGAATTTAAAATTTCTTTCTGTATATGCCGTGGGTTTAAGTCCTTAAAAGGCTGTTGTCATAGTTATATGTTTTGTTTTGTTTTGTTTTTTTATTTTTTTTATTTTTTGGTTTTTTTCTGGTACCGGGAACCGAACTCACGACCTTGCGCTTGCCAGGCAAGCGCTTTTGCTGCTGAGCTAAATCCCCAGCCCCTTGTTTTGTTTTTATGGTGCTAGGAACCAAACCCAGGGTCTCACACATACAAAGCAATGCTCTACCACTGAGCTACACTTTCACCTCTGGTGTAGTTTTCATAATTAGAATACTAAGCATTCTTAATATCACATTGTTGATCTTAAACATTCTTAAAATTTTGCAGAAATTAGGTATCCATTAGAATTTGGTATTGTGATACACAGTAACTAATTATCAAAGGAACTGAAAAGTCCATGTGAGTGAGCATCAATATTTGAGTGGGCTTGGAAATTAACCAAATTGAGCTCAACACCTTTCTCTCACACTTTTTATCTCTTTATTTTTATCACTGAAATCCCAGGTTGAATGCACAGGAGACAGTCCTCTTTGGGAATAACGGAAACGTCTGGGTGAGAACGCCCTTGTGGGAAAGAAGCACACACCGCTCTCACCAGGCCTCATGTCTGCAGCGCTGGGACTGAGCATTTCCTCCTCAAAGGGGACGTCCATTCCTATATCCTGGGACTGGAGTCTGAAAGAAAGCAAAGCAAAGAGTGTGAAAAGCTGTGTGCGGCTCTGTTTTTTGAAAAAGAAATCCAGAGATTATAGGATTAAATTTTCACCTCACATGAAATAAATCACCTATGTGTACTGCATCCATTGCTAAGTGGCCCCAAATTGGAAAACTTTCTACAGTTACTGTGAGTAAAACCATGAACACCAATTTCACTTGTGTGCAGCAATCACTTCTACCAGCCCATGTAATAAATACATGCCAAATAAAAAAACACTCAAAAATAGGAATGAGAACAACTAATGCATTTCAGGGGACACCTAATAGATTGTCAACATATATGGCGAATGCTTAAAATAAATTATTATTATGGTAAAAGACAGATAGCCATTAATTATCCTAAAAAGTATACCTGCTCACTTTGAACACAGTTAGCCTTTGCCTCTCAAAATTCCTTTTTAGTACTAGGCAGAAATCCTGTGAAGAAGGTGCGAGAAATCCAGTGGGTGTAGGCACTGGGGGAAGAGAAGGCTGAAAGCTCTGATCAGAAGGTGCTTGGAAGGAGGAAGAACTTTCATAAACCCATGGATATTACAGAGGGCTACAGAGACTGGAAAGGAAGTCCCAGAGACAAAAGAAAATCTGAGCCAGAATAAGCAGAAGCAATCTGGCTGAAACCCAAGTTGTGTCCTGTATGAATAGTTCAGCCACATTCATACACCAGGATCATACATACTTGTAGAAATGAAGTGGCCCAAACCAAACAGAGGTGTTGAGTGAAGACAGTAGTTTTATGATCAATAATGCAAGCTTCTTAGGACAGGTAATTTTATCTTACCCACCTGTAGCAAATACCTCCTTTTGTGTTCTCTGTACACAGAATGGACCTAATTAGAGGTTGAAAGAGTTGTAAGCCCAAGTCTGACTCTATCTACTATGGCTGAGCTAGCTACATGTCTCCATCTAGAGGACATGTCAGAACTGTTTTATGGATGCTTTGCTCGGTGGTGTTGTGATATTAATGTTCCTCACTAATTATCTCTGGCTCTGGCTTTTTGAATGTACAGTAATACTGCATTTCCCTGCCCCCTTGAAATTAGCACGGCTACATAACTTGCTTTGGCTAATGAAAACTGGAAGAGGGATATGTCCCTTCTGGGCAGAAACCTTAAGGGCAGGCATGTGAGGTACCACCTGCTTCCTGCCTCCACGGATCTGCAGAGTTCTGCCTGGCCATGTTCCAAGAGCCTGTGATGAGCAAAAGCCTCAACTAGAGCTCACTGGCTATATGAACAAGAAATGGATTTTTGTCCAGTTTTGCTGTGAGACATTGGAGTTGTCAGCATAGCATCAACTTGCCCATTCTAACTATACAGCTCCATTTTATTTTTTGTTTCAAAGGGAATATCTGACTCACACTATCGTCAATATTTCATTGAGTTGGATAATATATTTCCCATATCCTCAACCCAGTCTCGTGGTGATAGTACACATCTTGTTTGGATGGCTAAAGCATGAAAGAACATTTTATAAATCACGACGTAAGCTCAGAAAGGTATCAAATGCTTTCAAGTGCTCTATAAATGTTAGTATTAATGTATCTCATTTATGGATTTTTGCCGTAGCCATTATAGTCAACTTACTCATAGTCACTTAGATCATACTCAAGTGTCATAGCCACTTGTCAATTTGTGTAATGTTCTTCTTTAAATTGACATTTTGTTTATGTTATTTTGAAAGGAAGGTCTGTATCAGCATTATATGTAGATAATTAAATTACATCAGTGGTCACATAAATATGATAAAAATGAAATAAGGCTATTAACTTCAAGTTAGAAACCCCACATTTTTCTGTGTCTTTCTGAGAGAGAGAGAGAGAGAGAGAGAGAGAGAGAGAGAGAGAGACAGACAGACAGACAGGCAGACAGAGACAGAGAGAGACAGAGACAGAGATGGAGGGAGGGAGGGAAGAAGGGAAGGAGGAGATATTAGGGAGTGCGTGCTACCTGGCAGGATGTCATGCTTTGTGCAGCTGTCCTGCCAAATCCACTGTTTCACTTTGTGTGGCTTTAGTTCACCATAGCCAAAAGCAAATTGAAAGCCATTGTGAGTTTGTGGTACCCAACAATTAGAAAAATAGAAAACTGCAGAAATAAACAACTGATACTCTTTAAATAATTATTACAGTATACTGTCATATTTATTAGTAGGTATTGTAGACCCCTGCAGTGAGCTCCAACCTCTTGTCAGGTGTTACGGTACGTGTCAGAAAGAAGGAGCAAGAGATAAAATGATGGTACAGCAGGGATCCAGGATAACCAGTTGTTCATGGGGAATAAAAGGCCTTGAGGAAGCCAGAACCTTGGCATTTACTGTTGAGGAAGGTTTATCAGACAACTCAGACGGGGATGGTGATCGTAAACTAATGAGGATCTTGCCCTGCAGCATCTTTAGTTTTAGTAGTCTTAGTCTTAGTAGTCTTTCTCTTAGTAGGTGGGAGAGCATGGCCCACCCCTAATGGGATAATGAGAAATATTAAAAGGGTGATACCAAAAATCCCAAGGCTCCATTCATCCCTTAGGGAAGTATATAAAACTAGCCATTGTGAGTCTGTGGTACCCAACAATTAGATATTGTTGTTAATCTCTCACTATGCCTAATTTATAAATTAAATTTTATCATAGGTACATATGTATAAGAAAAAACATAGTATACATATATAGGGTTTAGTACTATCTGGTTTCAGGCACCTACAAGATGTCTTGGAATGCAGATAAAGTGGGACTACTACATCATTATAAACACAAGAAATGACAAATGAAATATAACATCCAAAAGGTAATTAATAGATTTCCAAGCTTAAAAGAAACCAAGAAAAATCCACAGGTGCCAGAAATGTAGAGTTATCATAAAAATGTAAAAAAATAGCCCATAAGATTTTTAACCAGACACAGGCTTTAGGAATCACAGCACAAGTGACTTCTGAGTGCTAGAAGGAACACAAAGACCTGAATTTCTAAATAAGGTTGTGAAGCTTAAAGAACTGAACTTTGCATGAGAAACGATGAGGAAAAACTCTATCCTCTGATCTTGGAAAGCAGTCTGCCTGGGAACCTAGGTAGAAAACCAAAAGTGATCTGTAAGAATTGAAGACACTAGTCATTGTCAAGCATGCTTCAATTCATATTACCTAAAGAATGCAGGAAGCTCAAATCAAGAGATTAAAATTACATTTGTCTATAATCATTGAAGACCTACAGCCCTATGTTATGCTTCAGATCTAAAACACCCCCCAAAAGTTGCACACTGAGAGATGGGGCCTGGTCTGAAGAGTAAGATCAGTGGAGGGATGAGTTGAAAGGATATATTCTTGTTCCTGCTCCTCCCTTTTCTCTGCTTTCTGGCTCCCACACTTTCCTCAAGCATGCTGTTAAATAAACCTTTCTTCCTTAAACTTTGGGTGTTGAGTATTTTGTCTCAGCAACAAGTAAAGTAACTAAGACATATACCATGCCATGTCTGTCCTGGAGCCAACCAACCCTGGACTGATCCCACTGAAACTATAAGCCCAATAAACTGCTCCTCCTTTAAATTGTGGAAATCTGACTAATATACTAGCATTTCAGAAGAATTAACTGTAGTCACCCGGTAGAGCTTACTAATTTACAACCTATGATTCCCTGGAAATCTTCTTGGCAGCAAGAAAAACACCTTTAAAAAGGTGAGTTCATACCAAAAGGTAAAATTATAACAACAAAAAAAAACATTGCTAAGGAGAAAAAAATTGCAATGAGGGATTGTTAGGAGATGATATTAATGGAAAAATAAAGGTAATTACACAGAGCAATAAAAGCAATTTAAAAAGAGAACAATACGAAAGAGATTATAAGGATTCAAAATATTTTAAAACCATTGTTAAACAACTTATATTAAAGCAATGAGGTTTGAGATGGTTGTCATAATGGATAATGTCAATTAAACCTTGATTAGCTGGGTTGCTTGAAAAAAATACAAAACATAATGATGCAACAGTATTGATAGTACAGTGAAATAAAAAGATATATGAGAAAAAGATTAAACACAACAAAGCATCAGAATATTCATATCAAACAAAACAGACTTTGAGAAGAAAAGATGTTATCGAGGCTAAAAAGTTACTATATAGTGTTTAAAGGAATAATTCCTCATCTCAAAAGTACAAACGGCTAAAAAATACAAGGAAAAACGTTTAACATCACTGGTCAATAGAGAAATGCAATTTAAAACAACACTGTGATTCTGTCTTACTCCAGAAATGGCTATCAACAAGAAATCAAATAACAAACACCAATGAGGCTGTATTTTACTTTTTCACTGCTGGGACAAAATATCCAACATGGACACATTAAAGTAGGAAAGGTTTACAGACATTCCTCATTTAACAACTGAGTTCTGTTCCTGAGATTAGGTTATTAAATGAATTGGCCACTAAATGAGGAATTGGTATTATAGTATGTACATTAGAATATTCAGAACAAGACAATGGTCAAAAGTAACCCTAACCTGATGACTTTGCTTTTATTTGTATAACTCTTAACATGCAGTACTATACTGGGTAACAGAATATTAAACTACAGTACTGTACAGCACAATCAGCAAAAATTACAGTGTTACATAAACAGGGTATATTGTACAAAAAGACACTGAGGCTGTAGAAACAGTACATACAGAACTGTAAAAGAAAAGGTGGGTCATAAGTGTGAGCAGCGGGTTGTAAGTCCGAACAGTGCACCTCGGTCATAAGTCCAAACAATGGTTAAACAGGTAGGCTATTAAATGAGGAGTATTCTGTATTTTAGCTCACAGTTTGTAGAAGTTTTGACCCATCATCAGTTGGTTCCAAGGCAGGGAGTCATGGCAGAAGGGCATGGCAGATGAGAAACAGTCCATGGCAGGGCAAGTACGGGGGAGAACAGCAGAGTCTCCCTTTCCTTTTAAATGCCAAGCCTATTGGGTAGTGCTACCCACACCCAGGGTAG